CCTGCCACAGTGTGCGCCATTTTGAGAACTTCAGCCTTTTCCTGATTGGCCACGGCCTTGTTGACCTTCTGCTGAAGCTCTGCTAGTTTCTGCTGGATGCCTCTGGCCAGTGACACTGCTTGAGGGGTATCTCCCTAGAAACAGAAAGCAAAGCAGATATTTGAGTTTATCTGGACTTAGAAAAAGAGATTATTGTTTTACATCAAGTCAGTGACATGTGATTTGATACACAAACATAATTTTGTGATGCACAGAGAAATTTCTGATGTGAAACAGCAAAATTGATATAAATGAGTTACAGGACCTATTCAGAAAAAGAATTTGCCCTGTTACTGCAGGTTAGTGGAGCAAACTCACAAGGAAACAAAAGCAATTTAAATTAAAATCATAATCCCATGGCTACTGAGAAGATAACCAGCTTAATTCAAACTTAATTCAAGACTTTTGATAAAGAGTTCTTTCAATTAAATATTCTTGATCAAGTAAAAAAATCTACACATCTACCTTTCCTTGTGCCCTGAGTTCAGAGAGAGCATCCACCATTGACTGTATGTCACCTACAGCTTTTACAATGGCCTCTCTGTCTTCTGGGTTGGCACAGCAGTCAGCAACCTTCATGGCATCCTCCAACATCTGGTGGATTGCCTGCTCACCTAAGATGAAAAGTCAACTGATATCAGAAATAATAGTCTTTGCTTTTTGTTTAAAACAAGAGTTGCATTTTATAATTCTAGAACAATCTGAAATGATAAAAAATTCACATTTTTTAGTAAAATCACAATATATGACATTTCTGAAATAAACTTGCCATTCACACAGCAGATGTTCACTTACCAGCACCACCTGCTGGTCCAAAAGGATCCAACAACCAGTCAGAGGCCTGCTTCATCTTCCCACTAATAGCATTCTATGTAATGAAGTGCAATATCATTATAATCTTGTTTCAACATAAGTAAGTTTTTGGAAGCTTTTAATACTTACAAATTCAATGCCACTGGGTAATTAAAACAATCAATTAAACCTAAGACCCATCAAACAATATTTAACAAAATACAAACACTTGGACATAAATAAGAAGGGATTCTTTCTTTATTTAAATGCATGGGGTTAAATACAAGTTTTAACTTGTGATGCACTGTGTGGCAAAGCTAACATATTTGATGTATTTACTTGTGCTTTCTTCATGACAGCAAGATCATCTGCCTCCCACTCATCCTCATCATATGTGGTCAGCTGCAGCACACGGATTATTTCATTGATTTCATCACACAGCTTGCGAACTACAAAATCTCTGTTTCCTTGAGATTCTTTTACACCACCAGCACCTGAAATACGAAACAGACCAAATCATCTCAAACGTGCAACATCAAATAATATGTGTGGATTTCAAACAATTACACATTTCAAGGATGCACTCTGGCTTCATTTTGCTTAACTTAGAAACTATCCAATCTGTAGCATATTTCATGGGAGTAATGGTTAAAATATGCAATATAATCTTTATTCTTAAAATTACTGCAAAGGATCTCCATAAAAAATATTGAAACATTACCTTGGCTCTTAGTGGATACAAATATTTTGACAGCACTGATGAGGACAGGTGTCAAGGCTTTGACCTCTTCCAGAGACCTGACCAGCATCTCTCTGTGGACCTGATGGGTCAGTTCCTTCTCTCTCAGGTCCACTTCTTTGGCCATCTTAGTCAGCACCGGACTGAGATTCTGTGGAAAGATTTTTAAAAATTATCTTTACAATATGTCAAATTTGCTCAATGACTTACTTTGATTCTTTTCAAAAATAGAAATTTCAGCATAATTTTCTGAACTGCATAGAATTAATTTTCAATTTAGAAACATATTTTTGGTCAATTTACCTTATCCTGTCTGCAACAAGAGAGGTTGACTATTCAAAATAATTCTCTGTTATCTTTTATTTATTTATTTCACAGAATGTTCATATTAACTACAATTTGTACATCCCTCTTTTTATTTTGAAACCAAATAAAGAGAAAATATTATGTAAAAAAATCTAAAATGATTTGTCTATTTCCAACAAGGTGGTTGATTGGTTCAAATAATAACATTATTGGATGTGCATTGTCTGTTTGTGTTACTCATCCAGACATAACCTTTTGTGATGCTATAATCATGGCACTGAAAGAGAACCGGTTTGACTTTTAACCACAACTTGTCAATATTCATCTTCTTCTGCATGCCTGATCTTCTGCTCTAGTTACATGTTCTTTATGTGCGGTGTGGTAATGAATCATGTTCCCCTGGATGACTCAATCACATTCCTTACAGGTTCCTGCTACTGAAGTCTTTGATTTATGATAAAACAGCTAGCATGCTTCTTACTAGTACTATATGTATACAACACTGTCCTGATTTTTCATACTTGCACACAGGAAAACATGTGTGCACATTCATATGCACATGCACACACATTCAAACATGGGCAATATCACCTATTTGTACAGATATTAGGTAAAGCAAATGTACATGTATAAGAGCAAGTCCATCAAATATACTTTAATTTGGAGCATTTATGTCAAGTAAAAGAAACAACTATACAAGACTTTATCTCCCAGTAAAACAAGACATTCTGAAAAATAATACAGCACCAGGCTTCTTGAACTCAAAACTGGTGCAGTTTAACTTTCACTCTGTTCATATTTTCCCAAGAGAACTTTAAGCCAAAATGATAAATGATAAACAGCAATTCTAATGACAGAATGATGACTATGTAAGCAACCTAAGTGATCTAGGGGTTTGGGAAACAGTTGCAACCACCTTATGTTCTGGACAAAGTTCTGTATTAGGACATGATGCTATCTTGGTTCATTCCCCAGCAAATAACTAATTCTACTCCTTTCAACAATCATCCCACACAAAGGTGAGTCAAGGAAATGTACTGACTGTATAAACAATCATCTTCTCTGCAACAAGCATGAGTCAAGAGTTTAAGAACTACAGAATTTCACCATGGAGTATACCCAAGTCAAAGAGAGAGGGTGTTACAACTTGATTGAGTCTCTGTTTGTCCACATGATACCTCATGAGGATAAAATTTGACAATCATTTGCGGACACAACTTTCAATCAATCGTTTCAAAAACTAACTTATCTATGTCTACAAGCACTCAAATGCAGTCTTATATCAAGATAAGGCAACAGAGATAAAGGTATTATTTTCAACCAAAGAGAAGTTGACAGACACCCCGACATGGGCACAATGCAAATGTCTTAATCTGGGCCGGATTGAGGCCGTCTTCAGGGTCTTCTGGAAAACGATCAGATTTTCAAGTTTACATTGACAGGTGCCTATTTTTTCTGTCGGAAAACGGTCAAAAATAGAAGATAGATCAACAAAGATAATATGGAAGACTGTCATAAAATATCTCTGGATCTGCCCTGTTAATTGATATTTTACCTTGACAAATTTGACTAGGTCCTCCATGCAATCGACCACCTCAGTAATGGCCAGGTACTCCAGCACACTCTTGCAGATACGAATTATCTTTCGGACCTCACTCTCATCAAATGCCAATAGTAGAGCCGATGTCCCTTGGAGAATTCCTGAAAAGATATTGCAATAAAAATATGTTTAAAATAAATACATGAATAGCTTTATTCTCAAAAGCACGCAGAAAGAGCATTACCAGGAAATAATAGTAAAAGAAGAGAGATTAAGTACAACTTAGTAATTAAGTTTATTAACCTGGTAAAACTGGTCAGTTTAATTTTTATGATAAAGACTAAATAATTTTAGCCACTTGCATCATATAAGAAATAAGTAAATTAATAATAATAATAATTACAATAAATCATTTTGTGCAATAAAACCAACGAGCTTGCATCCCATAAGTAATTATAGTATTGACCATACTTTCAAAGGGTCAGAAAGACCATTAAGTACCTTGCCCAGGTAATAAACAACACCATGGCAGGTATCTGAAGATAGTTCTCCTGCAAAACACACCTTTACACTAAGAATTCTAAGAAATCCTTCACACATCTTTGTGTGCCAAGATAAAATGATATTGAATAATATATCTCTCTGCATCAGATTGTTCTGATGTCTTTATCAGATCCAGTGCCTTTGTCTAATATGACTAACTGCCAGTATATCCGCAAGGTTATGACTTTGGGCAGTCCACCATGGTGCAAAATTGTAAACAGAGTTGCCATCCTTCTGAAGAGGAACTTATCTGTTGTTTATCATGTTATAAATATTTGCAAACAACAATAAATATAAATATTAATTAATAGCAATAAACAAAGGACACAGATTTTATGCAGGGCACAGAATGCACTAAATGCAGACGTCTGAAATCAGCATACCTGTGCAAGAATGTGTGCCTCTACATTTTATTCAAATAACCATGCAAATATTGTAAAATGTACCAGAATTCACTTGTATAATGGGCTCAAATCTTTGTACCTGTGAAAACAATGTACAGCAGACTCTTCTGAAGACTTTTCTGAACTGCAGATTTAACATCCTAGATTTAACATCCAACTAGTTTACCTGGATTTCATTTTCTACTAAAGGCAGAGAGTCTACAGTGAGGAGAAAAAAATAACACACACCTGACATAACAGGGCGTCTAAATCTAATCAACTCCCACACAGTACTACATAAACAAGAGATGATAAAACCCATTGAAGAAATGATAATATAAATGGACTGTTAAATATTCTTTTTCTAGTAATTTCTATGCGCACATGAGAACCTGAATGATAATTTGATAATTCCCCTATCTCCCCAGCAACAACACTTTACAGGTATATCAAGGGCACATACTCTACAGGTGGTGTAAAGCAGCTTCCAACTGCCTCCCATTGCCAAGTATATTAGACACTAAGTAAACACCCATAACTATTAGCTGCCAAGGTTAAAATATGTAAACTGACACAGATCATTTGCTAAAATATGATGCTGCAAACCCAATATAACTTCTTGTAGTTAACAATGTCGTTTCTCTTGCTAACAACTACTTCTGCAAAGGAATGATATCCCAGTTCATCACACAACTTTCTAGACAACAGTTGTCTTCCACAATACACGCAATGGTAATATTTTTTCCTTTTCTCACTTCCTCCACCATTAAATGTTCAATGACCATTGACATTTTACACAGGGCTGTCCAGTTCCACTTAGCACCCACCATTATTTTGTTGTGTCCACTGCGGTTCTTTCTCCTCCCAGTGATATTTGTGTATTTCCTGAGACAAAAGTTTATAATCCCTGGAGAGCATTATCACCGAAGACCCAGTCCACCATAGAGATACTCAACTCAGCACATTTTACCATCTGAGTGCCGATACTGCTCCTCGAAAACTCCAAGAACCACCTCCAGGTCCCTCTAATGCAGCAGGTCAGAGATAATCACCAGTTTCGCCCATGCACCAGTTTTTCCACACTTCAATGCAACTGGAAGTTAGGTATCAGCTAACAATCTTGCTATTTCCCCCACTTCACTGCCAAAGTTTCTGGTGCCTCTCAGAATGCACTCCTACACAAATCTAGGTACAGGGTAATGGCCCAGAGACCTTCTGAGAACTAGCCTACCATATTCATTTCTTTGATGATGGATTTTCCAACCAGTATTTCTAAATAACATAAGGTCATAGGGGGTGGCTGTTTGTTGTTTTTATCCTTCAATAAAAATCCATCATACACGATGCCAAAGTGTTTCTGACACAAACTATTTTCTCCTGCTACTCCCTGAATTGGAACCCTGTGTAGGTAGATCTTGTATATCTACTCCAGACACTAGAAAAACAGTAGTTTCGGAGAGAAAAAAGGCAACAAGTTATTACCATGGTGCATAAATTTGATTCATTTACTCAAAAACACTTAATAGTTCAGTAGTTTGGGAGAGAAAAAAAGGCAATTAAGTATTACCATTGAGCATGATTTTTATACGTTTACTCAAAAACACTAGTTCACAACTTTATTGAAGAACTTAGGTGTAAGTAGTCCTTGTTAATATGTTTATTAAAATTTGAAATATATTTTCAGTAACCAAAGCTGACACAGTGAACTTTTTTTCTTTTATGCCATTAATGAGCTACACTTTCAGATCATCAACTAAATAAACTAATTCATTTAATTCTTTTTTTCTCATTTTTGTTGACTCCTCTTATTGTGGTTGTAGTAAAGGTAGGGTTAACTGTTATATATATATATATATATATATATATATATATATATATATATATATATATATATATGTATATATATATATATATATATATATATATATATTTTTTTTTTTTTTTTTTTGGGGGGGGGGGTGAATTTCATTTGATTCACACTATAATATTTTTTTAGCTAATGCTGTTTTATAAAATAACCACTCTTAACTGTAAGAACTACAAGCCCACACGAAAACACTTCAAGATAAGTCTTGAAACATGTTCTACATGCTACACATAGAAATGNGTAAAAGAGAGAGGATGTTACAACTTGAATGAGTCTCTGTTTGCCGACATGATACCTCAAGAGGATAAAATATCTCTGGATCTGCCGCTGTTAATTGATATTTTACCTTGACAAATTTGACTAGGTCCTCCATGCAATCGACCACCTCAGTAATGGCCAGGTACTCCAGCACACTCTTGCAGATACGAATTATCTTTCGGACCTCACTCTCATCAAATGCCAATAGTAGAGCCGATGTCCCTTGGAGAATTCCTGAAAAGATATTGCAATAAAAATATGTTTAAAATAAATACATGAATAGCTTTATTCTCTAAAGCACGCAGAAAGAGCATTACCAGGAATAATAGTAAAAGAAGAGAGATTAAGTATAACTTAGTAATTAAGTTTATTAACCTGGTAAAACTGGTCAGTTTAATTTTTATGACAAAGACTAAATAATTTTAGCCACTTGCAGCATATAAGAAATAAGTAAATAAATAATAATAATAACAATAAATCATTTTGTGCAATAAAACCAACGAGCTTGCATCCCATAATAATAACAGTATTGACCATACTTTCAAAGGGTCAGAAAGACCATTAAGTACCTTGCCCAGGTAATAAACAACACCATGGCAGGTATCTGAAGATAGTTCTCCTGCAAAACACACCTTTACCCTATGATTTCTAAGAAATCCTTCACACATCTTTGTGTGCCAAGATAAAGTGATATTGAATAATATATCTATCTGCATCAGATTGTTCTGATGTCTTTATCAGATCCAGTGCCTTTGTCTAATATGACTAACTGCCAGTATATCCTCAAGGTTATGACTTAGGGCAGTCCACCATGGTGCAAAATTGTAAACAGAGTTGCCATCCTTCTGAAGAGGAACTTATCTGTTGTTTATCATGTTATAAATATTTGCTAATAACAATAAATATAAATATAAATATTAATTAATGGCAATAAACAAAGGAAACAGATTTTATGCAAGGCACAGAATGCACTAAATGCAGACGTCTGAAATCAGGATACAAGTGCAAGAATGTGTGCCTCTACATTTTATTCAAATAACAATGCAAATATTGTACAATGTACCAGAATTCACTTGTATAATGGGCCCAAATATTTGTACCTGTAAAAACAAGGTACAGCAGACTCTTCTGAAGACTTTTCTGAACTGCAGATTTAACATCCTAGATTTAACATCCAACTAGTTTACCTGGTTTTTATTTTCTACTTAAGGCAGAGAGTCTACGGGGAGGAGAAAAAAATAACATACACCTGATATAACAGGGCATCTAAATCTAATCAACTCCCACACAGTACTACACATACAAGAGATGATAAAACCCATTGAAGAAATGATAATATAAATGGACTGTTAAATATTCTTTTTCTAGTAATTTCTATGCGTACATGAGAACCTGAATGATAATTTGATAATTCCCCTATCTCCCCAGCAACAACACTTTATAGGTATATCAAGGGCACATACTCTACAGGTGGTGTAAAGCAGCTTCCAACTGCCTCCTATTGCCAAGTATATTAGACACTAAGTAAACACCCATACCTATTAGCTGCCAAGGTTAAAATATGTAAACTGACACAGATCATTTGCTAAAATATGATGCTGCAAACCCAATATAACTTCTGGTAGTTAACAATGTTGTTTCACTTGCTAACAACTACTCCTGCAAAGGAATTATATCCCAATTCATCACACAACTTTCTAGACAATACTTATCTTCCACAATACACGCAATGGTAATATTTTTTCCTTTTCTCACTTCCTCCACCATCAAACCTTCAATGACCATTGACATTTTACATAGGGTTGTCCAGTTCCACTTAGCACCCACCATTGTTTTGTTGTGTCCACTGCGGTTCTTTCTCCTCCCAGTGATATTTGTGTATTTCCTGAGACAAAAGTTTATAATCCCTGGAGAGCATTATCACAGAAGACCCAGTCCACCATAGAGATACTCAACTCAACACATTTTACCATTTGAGTGCCGATACTGCTCCTCTAAAACTCCAAGAACCACCTCCAGGTCCCTCTAATGCAGCAGGTCAGAGATAATCACCAGTTTCGCCCATGCACCAGTTTTTCCACACTTCAATGCAACTGGAAGTTAGGTATCAGCTAACAATCTTGCTATTTCCCCCACTTCACTGCCAAAGTTTCTGGTGCCTCTCAGAATGCACTCCTACACGAATCTAGGTACAGGGTAATGGCCCAGAGACCTTCTGAGAACTAGCCTACCATATTCATTTCTTTGATGATGGATTTTCCAACCAGTATTTCTAAATAACATAAGGTCATAGGGGGTGGCTGTTTGTTGTTTTTATCCTTCAATAAAAATCCATCATACACGATGCCAAAGTGTTTCTGACACAAACTATTTTCTCCTGCTACTCCCTGAATTGGAACCCCGTGTAGGTAGATCTTGTATATCTACTCCAGACACTAGAAAAACAGTAGTTTCGGAGAGAAAAAAGGCAACAAGTTATTACCACAGTGCATAAATTTGATTCATTTACTCAAAAACACTTAATAGTTCAGTAGTTTCAGAGAGAATAAAAGGCAATAAAATATTACCATGGAGCATGATTTTGATACATTTACTCAAAAACACTTACTAGTTCACAACTTTATTGTAGAACTTTGGTGTAAGTAGTCCTTGTTAATATGTATATTAAAATTTGAAATATATTTTCAGTAACCAAAGCTGACAAAGTGAACTTTTTTTCTTATATGCCATTAATGAGCTACACTTTCAGATCATCAACTAAATAAACTAATTCATTTAATTCTTTTTTTCTCATTTTTGTTGACTCCTTTTATTGTGGTTGTAGTAAAAGTAGGGTTAACTTATATATATATATATATATATATATATATATATATATATATATATATATATATATATATATATCTTTTTTGGGGGGGTGAATTTCATTTGATTCACACTATATTTTTTTAGCTAATACTGTTTTATAAAATAATCATTCTTAACTGTAAGAACTACAAGCCCACATGAAAACACTTCAAGATAAGTCTTGAAACATGTTCTACATACTACACATAGAAAGGTATATATAAGTAAATGAAGAATGTCAGNTATGATCTCCCCAATATATATAACTGGCCATAAAAAATATCAAACTGCAAAAGCTATAGAACAGCGATGCTCATGGAGACAATTTCACAGCAATTCTCCATTTCTTTCCACAAATGCCTCTCTAGAACATCCGTCATTCTTGTGTTTTGGAAATTTGACCTCCATATAAGGGAAAATTAAAAAAAATAACTAAATAACACAAAAATAACTCAAAAAATAACTAAGAAAGAAAAAAAGTAGCACACAAAATTTGTATAACGTATGGTGGCTTATACCTCTTGATCCCTCGATCAACTTTTTCCTGGCAGGTGCTGAGTATGGGTCTGCTCGCAACATATCAGAAGCATCAAGAAGAAGGAACGATGCCTCTTCCACTCGCTGGAGAGCAGGCGGCATGTCTTGTTTCAGAATCTGATCCTCACTAACATTGACAGTGTCATAACCAACCTGAAAACAAAACAAAAATACATTAATATTTGTCAAATGAGACTCAAATAGCTATAATAAGGGGCTGATCAGAAATCGGACTTATGAATTACGTGGTATCATATCGACAGCTTGTATTACAGATTCTAAAAAAAAAAACTTGCTTTTTACTGAGATCAAAAGTCATGCAATCATCAAAGCCAGATTTGCTAACAAAATTTTTAAAAAAAGAAAGCAAGAAAAATGATATGATTTACATTTTGAGTTACAAACGTTTTCCACTGTTGTGACATCCATGTGCAGCTTTGAATATTCCAAGATGCCTGCGATTTACAGATGTTTCCAAACACTTCACTCTTAAAATCTGAATATCCATGTTTTACACACTGAAACTGGTTTTCATTCAGAAACATTTCTCCATGTGAGAAGCACACAACATTTGCAAGCAAACTCTATATTGTCAGGAATTGCTTGCTAAAACTTTTAGTATCAGTCCTTTTTGCAGTATATGAAGAGGTTTGGAAAACATTGAAAATGAAGTAAAGAAGTAAGGAAAGATTCTCTGGGATGACCTTTGAAAAAGAAAGGGGATATCTGGAAAATCTTTCCAAACTCACAAAAGCTGCAGAAATATTGAAATTCAAATCAGAGATGAGATGGCCACCCACATATAAAACATATCTGGTGATATAAAGGGGGCTTCAAGTGAAGGTCATTCATGTATGTTTTTCAGGTGTGCTTGTGTATTTTAAGTATTTATAAACCCACACATTATTTTATGGGTCTATGAATCCTCAACATCTCCTTGCCTCACAATCTTTTTTAAGAAATTCGTTTGTGCACAAAAAAGAAACTTTATCACAAAGAACATTTCTCATCTTGCAGGTAGAAAAGCCAGCACCCTACAGAGAAACTTTCAATTTAATCGCCAATTTGAAGACAAGAATTCCAACCCAAGGTTGCATTTGTATATATGATATGTTGCCAATTAAAAAAGAAAGAGAATGAAAAAATGCTTGAAGAGATAAAAGCAATCAAGTGAAAAAGACATGTAAACACCAAGTACAACATTCATGGAGACGTAAAATGACCATAAAACACTAGATACACATATAGCATGCCTGAGGGACATCTTGAACTTTTTGTGGTTAACATGGCAGTCATGACTTCCCACATACTTTCAAAACACTAGGCAACCCTTTAATCTAAGCCTTTCTTTTTTTTACAGAAGTCTCTTAAATGTAATTCCAAAGAGCATAGACACATTAGAAGGTTGATCATGGCAAGAACCATGGCCAAATATGGTGCAGAAAAATAATAGGTCATTTTTTTAGAAACATTTTAGGGCATTTTTAACATTAGATAACCATATTAAAATCAGTCATTACATTATATAAGTTTTAAAAAACACTAATTCAATATATCATTATTTCAATTTCAAGTGATTATGTTGATTAAACATATTTATATAATACACAAATTTCAAATGTGATCCCCTCACTTTCAGCAGCCTGTCAAGAAAACAGTAGCTGCTTGCATGTCTCTTGTCATCACGCCTGCCTTTTGGCAATCATCACTTCAAGGACATAGGTACACATCCAGAGAGATAAATGTCTGCTGCATATTTATAGTTTACAGGGATCACAGATGGCAGTAGTAAAGGGAAGAGCTCTTTCTGACATGTGGTTACGGTAATGACTGGATATTTTCATACATATCCTAATATTTCCTTTTTTTAATGATTTACCTGTTTAGCAACTTTTTCATGATTAGTTTAACAACTCATTAATTTCTGCTTTCTGACATATTATCAACTAATTTTTGAAGTATTATTTATAAAAATTTCAAATAAAATAAATGTGGGGGGTGTTAAATAAATTCTGTTCAAATTACATAAATAATTACCATAAATACTCATTTACCTTGCCAGGTCACAAATGGATGACACTTTACTGGACATCTCATGCACACAAATTTGATAGTCCTAATTAAATTCATTATCATTCTGTAGAAAGGTCAACCCAACCTTTTTTAATCAAAGTCACATTGGCATAATCAGAGCCTTGCACTAGCATAAANTATGCTGAAAAGTGAAAAAACAGCATAACTACTAAAATAGTGGCCCGATCATGCCAATTTTCGAACTTGATCTGTGTTTTAGTAAGACTGATTACTCCTGTGAGTTTCATGACAACAGGCCAATCGGTTTTCTTTGAAATGTGTTAACAGTGTTGCATATATGCTAAAAAGTGAAAAAAACAGCATAAATTCTACAATAATGGCCCGATCATGCTGATTTTCAAACTTGACCTGCGTTTTATGAATATTAGTCAGCTCTGTAAATATAAAGCCAAAAAGTAAAACTGTCTTCCACTTATGGTGTTAACGCTGAAAGTGCACGGCGACGGCGACGGCGACGGCGACATGATCGGCGACGGCGACGACAGACGCAGGTGATGGCAATATGTACAGACACATCTGTGTCTGTACATAAACATGATCTCCCAATATATATAACTGGCCATAAAAAATATCAAACTGCAAAAGCTATAGAACAGCGATGCTCAGGGAGACAATTTCACAGCAATTCTCAAACTCTTTCCACAAATGCCTCTCTAGAACATCCGTCATTCCTGTGTTTTGGAAAATTGACCTCCATATAAGGGAAAATAAAAAATAACTAAATAACACAAAAATAACACAAAAAAAAAAACTAAGAAAGAAAAAAAGAAGCACACAAAATTTGTATAACGTATGGTGGCTTATACCTCTAGATCCCTCGATCAACTTTTTCCTGGCTGGTGCCGAGTATGGGTCTGCTCGCAACATATCAGAAGCATCAAGAAGAAGGAACGATGCTTCTTCCACTCGCTGGAGAGCAGGCGGCATGTCTTGTTTCAGAATCTGATCCTCGCTAACATTGACAGTGTCATAACCAACCTGAAAACAAAACAAAAATACATTAATATTTGTCAAATGAGACTCAAATAGCTATAATAAGGGGCTGATCAGAAATCGGACTTATGAATTACGTAGTATCATATCGACAGCTTGTATTACAGATTTTAAAAAAAAACTTGCTTTTTACTGAGATCAAAAGTCATGCAATCATCAAAGCCAGATTTGCTAACAAAATTTTTAAAAAAAGTAAGCAAGAAAAATGATATGATTTACATTTTGAGTTACAAACGTTTTCCACTGTTGTGACATCCATGTGCAGCTTTGAATATTCCAAGATGCCTGCGATTTACAGATGTTTCCAAACACTTCACTCTTAAAATCTGAATATCCATGTTTTACACACTGAAACTGGTTTTCATTCAGAAACATTTCTCCATGTGAGAAGCACACAACATTTGCAAGCAAACTCTATGTTGTCAGGAATTGCTTGCTAAAACTTTTAGTATCAGTCCTTTTTGCAGTATATGAAGAGGTTTGGAAAACATTGAAAATGAAGTAAAGAAGTAAGGAAAGATTCTCTGGGATGACCTTTGAAAAAGAAAGGGGATATCTGGAAAATCTTTCCAAACTCACAAAAACTGCAGAAATATTGAAATTCACATCAGAGATGAGATGGCCACCCACATATAAAACATATCTGGTGATATAAAAGGGGCTTCAAGTGAAGGTCATTCATGTATGTTTTTCAGGTGTGCTTGTGTATTTTAAGTATTTACAAACCCACACATTATTTTATGGGACTCTGAATCACCAACATGTCCTTGCCTCACAATCTTTCAATAATGAATTCATTTGTGCACGAAAAAGAAACCTTATCGAAAAGAAATGTTTCTCATCTTGCAGGTAGAAAAGCCAGCACCCTGCAGAGAAACTTTCAATTTAATCGCCAATTTGAAGACAAGAATTCCACCTCAAGGTTGCATGTGTATATATGATATGTTACCAATTAAAAAAAAAGAGAATGAGAAAATGCTTGAAGAGATCAAAGCAATCAAGTGAAAAAGACATGTAAACACCAACTGCAACATTCATGGAGACGTAAAATGACCATAAAACACTAGATACACATATAGCATGCCTGAGGGACATCTTGAACTTTTTGTGGTTAACATGGCAGTCATGACTTCCCACATACTTTCAAAACACTAGGCAACCCTTTAATCTAAGCCTTTCTTTTTTTTACAGAAGTCTCTTAAATGTAATACCAAAATGCATAGACACATTAGAAGGTTGATCATGGCAAGAACCATGGCCAAATATGGTGCAGAAAAATAATAGGTCATTTTTTTAGAAACATTATAGGGCATTTTTAACATTAGATAACCATATTAAAATCAGTCATTACATTATAAGTTTTAAAAAACACTAATTCAATATATCATTATTTCAATTTCAAGTGATTATGTTGATTAAACATATTTATATAATACACAAATTTCAAATGTGATCCCCTCACTTTCAGCAGCCTGTCAAGAAAACAGTAGCTGCTTGCATGTCTCTTGTCATCACGCCTGCCTTTTGGCAATCATCACTTCAAGGACATAGGTACACATCCAGAGAGATAAATGTCTGCTGCATATTTATAGTTTACAGGGATCACAGATGGCAGTAGGAAAGGGAAGAGCTCTTTCTGACATGTGGTTACGGTAATAACTGGATATTTTCATACATATCCCAATATTTCCTTTTTTAAATGATTTACCTGTCTAGCAACTTTTTCATGATTAGTTTAGCAACTCATTAATTTCTGCTTTCTGACATATAGTCAACTAATTTTTGAAGTATTATTTATAAAAATTTCAAATAAAATAAATGTGGGGGGTGTTAAATAGATTCTGTTCAAATTACATAAATAATTACCATAAATACACATTTACCTTGCCAGGTCACGAATGGATGACACTTTACTGGACATCTCATGCACACAAATTAGACAGTCCTAATTAAATTCATTATCATTCTGTAGAAAGGTCAACCCAACCTTTTTTAATCAAAGTCACATTGGCATAATCAGAGCCTTGCACTAGCATAAAGAAAGTTAATAGGGTACTTTTTGGACTATCAATTTAGGACTTTTCAATTTCTACAATTACGTTTTAACATAACTTTCTTTAAGATCCTTTAAACCCAATTAAACTTTTCAAATATTTGTTTAGTCTGTTTAGCCTATTTACAGCCAAAAGTTTAAGGAGGCTGACTGTGTAGAGGTGGGTAATTAAAGGGCACAGAAGCAGGCAACTTACTTATTCCTTAAATGTCAGGCAATATATATGTGCTCTGCACAACACTGATTTATAATGGTCAAGGGGGCTTTAAAATGCTATTCATAAGACCTAGCAGTGGATGATCCACTATTTCTTAATTCTCCAAAACTGCTTACACAGTAGAAATTATACAACTACTGAAATATTAATCAAGAAACACTTAGCAAAATATGTGATAACTTGCTACTGATATTAGCCCGGAAATATTTCAGTGAGTGGTTCTGTGCCATTACTCAGAGGTGTTGTTTTACTGTCACAGAAGTATGTCAGTTAAAATAAATTGTGCTTCTGTTCCCTACAACAAAGCCACACTCTGATCTTTGCATATTATCTCTGCCCTCCCTGTTTGTTTGTAGACTAAATGGGCAATGAGCATGAACCAAATACCAAAGTAGATTCTTCCTGTCGCAAAATATAAACAAAAATCAACATTATGGGTTGTTTCACTTATTTCAACTTGCAACTGGCACTCCTGCACTTACACTTAACCCCACCCTCTCTTTAAACACCATCTACATAAGAAACCACAGTTCACTCTATATCAATGAAATAATCCCCATTCTGAAGAAAAAAGCAATTTATAATACCAGCTAAAAATGCAAAGCATGGAATTAAAGAAAAGAAAAGTTCCTTCCATCCATATTACATTATGATGCAACAATTAAGAGCACCCCCAAGCAACCTTTCCATAAAGACAAAAGACTTATGTTAATGGATGGATTTGCATGATTCTTATGCGCAAAGACTGCACAATAAACTGAGTGCTTCACCACTCATCTAATGAGGCATTTTAAAACAAAACTGAGCAGGATCCACATGGAATGCAGTCAAGCCAGTTAATTTAGGCTAATGTGGTCTCAGTTCACCAGTTTAACAAATCCTGCTCCTGTCTCTTATACATTACACCCCTCTCTGTTTACACATATGTTCCAGAAACAAGTAAAGCAATGGGCACCACTTTTTTGCAAAGCAATGGTAGAATAATAATAGAGCCCTGTTATTGTGAGTGTCCACACATTCTAAGCACCCTCAAGGTGTATGACCAAGTTCATGAAGCTGCCACTCCTTCTATAGGAAAACAGATGCCTAACAGAAGATAGATGACATTAAAAATGTGTGCAAAAAGGTTTTAGAACCCTCCTGCCACCCTGAGTGACTGATAAAAAGTTCAAGTAAAGAGCACACAGTCATCAAGATAACAAAAACAGGATTTTCAAAATAAAATCAGGTCAGGATTTTGCTGATATTCAGAAGAAAAAAGGGAATACCCAAATACAGTTTTTCATAGTTTCTAACCTTAACGAGATTGTCCACAGCCATCTTGACCACTTGCACTGGCCGTGCCAGGTCTGGCATAGCATTGCCATCTTCTGCTTCTTCATGGAGGATGACCAGACGAGACACCTGAAAGCAGTGTTGAATAAACTGTTATGTTTAATTTATTGAATGAAGCATGTTGTATTGTACTCCTTAATCATGTGCATGTTGTATTGCATTGGGCACTTATATTCATACAAATGTTGTTGGTTTCATAAAAGCATGCAAAATTGCTCTTTATTTAAAGTTCAAAGGGATTTTCAAAAGCATTAAGTATATAATTTAGATAACAATGCATTCACTCATTGACTGCTTAGTTAAGGGAGATAGGGTAATGAATAATCCACAAATTAAGTGTAACTACTACTGATACAAGACAAAAAATTATTTATTGATACAATTTATTTCTGACAGCCTGCATGTACATGAAATAAAAGCACACATGAGCACTACATGCATGTCATGTGCACACATTTTCATTTACACCATGAATCAGTCGCTCACACACCAAATATAGTTCACAAAACATCAGACACCCTGCTTTTTTAAGTTAGTTCAGCTGTTTTTCAAAACAAACATGAGAAGGTATAGCAGCACAGGACTTGGGTTTAGACCAGGCCCTGTTACTGAGCCTCACACCACAAGCATTAACACACGTGGTGGCTGTATTGTTTGCCACAGAGATATCATATCTAAACTGGGCATCATCTGTATATATATCTGATAAGATGCAGATTTTCATTACAAATGATAGATGGGCATGATAACTGCAAGCCATTTGTTCTCTGTATGTTATAATCATTACATTTTTCTCTCTCCAGTGTCCACTCATCTTACACTATGACACTATTCGCTGCACATAAGCAAAACTAATAGTATAATAAGACCTGGTACTGCTTTCTTGTATATTTAGTGCAATAAAATGAAAACTGCAGTTTTGTCATTAATTTCATTTACATCTGATCAGATACACATAAAAATTTATTTCATGGAAGGACAAAGCATCAGGAGCCAGGGGCAGTGAGTACAGCTTGTAGTAGTATAAAGACGAGTTCACAAGGGATATCATCACAGGTGAGGTTTCTCTGATTGCTAATCATGCATAACCTCCAAATCCATCTGGAACTTAAGAGGAGATAATCGACAGGTATTAATTATCTCATAATCCTCTCCATCCTTTCTCAGACTTTCAAGTTTCAGTTCTTGCATTCATTCCCTGAGCTTCAATTCTTGTGAATTATGTATCTTGAACATGTAGCTTCATTTTTAAGTCTTACTTCTCTGCTCGGTTATACAAGAAGACATGTAAATGTAATAAGGAAGAAGCCCCCACTGTCTATGAAACATCATGCAAGTTCCAGTGCATGCTAAGAATTAATCTTTCATTCCACTTATAAGTATACACACCAAGCATATACACCAAGCACACACACACACACACACAGAGCCTTGTTATCACTGCTGTTTTCTCCCCTTTGAACATAAGCCAGGTATATATTAATCATCCCTCACAGTCCAGAAACACCAGAGTACACTGAATGAACACTGGCTGTTGGTGTGTTCTGCTGTGTGGGAGAGTATAGTGAGAGCATTTTGCCTGGGGATGCTTGAAGCCTAGGTAAACCTCACACCATTTTCAAAGCCTACTCCTATTTCCAATTCTGCTGGATAAAAGCGTTGACAGCGTGAGATTTTTTTAAGTACTATAGCAATGAAAAATGTAGTCTCATTTTCTTTTCTTTTTTTTTTTTTTTTTTTTGATGACTGAACTTCTCTTTTTTTAATCTGTTTTGACGAAATATGTCACTGCAAAAGTTCAGCTGAAGAATAACTCAACTGGTAAATACCTTACTTGACAAGAAGTTGGAAGCATTTTTTGCTGCCAGATAACTTGTAGCATTTCAAAGTTTACAAGGAGCTACAGCATCACTCAGATATTAACCTTTCTCTGCTTTCTCTAGAGTCTATCTGTTCCATGTGTTTTTCATTCTAGCCTTCCAAGCATAAGGCTGGAAGTGTATCTATTAGGACCAGATTGACAATTTATCAATTTAATGTGTGTGTGCATGTTCATGTTATCAATGCAATATAACTGAAATGCTGCCCACATATTATAAACCTGCATTCACAAGGGAAATGGGTTTTGCTGCATAACAACTATTGCANCGTCCGTAATGCTAATTTTCACATTTTTCAAGTTTAACGCGCTATAAAATCATGAATTCAAAAAATACAGGTAAATCTTTTACAAATTCTTATCCCCTGAAGTCTCTTCTTTCAGAAAATGCAACTTTTGATTGATTTTTGTACATTTGAAAATTTTATGCCCAGGACACAAATACCACGGAATGGCCCTGCATCAATTGACCCCTTCAAATAACTGCATTTAATTAGGAGGTTTGTAATTCTTTTGGTTAAAAATAAATACATTTCATTTTATGGTATGTGTTATTCAAGTAACTGCAAGTCTGAATTTGACTATGAACCAGATATGTGCCTATTTTACATGGTTTGAACTATAATTTAAGCTGATAATACAATGAAGTGATTTACTCAACAAAATCACTCTTTGCACATAACTTCAGGTGTCTTACCCATTCTCTTAAAGATTACCAAGCCTTACACAACAAACAACATTGAAACCTTCTTCAACCACTGTTCAATTCTTTGTATTGACCATGTTATGTATACAAATTATGCAAGTATTTCCCATTGATTATAAGTAGCATTAAACCTCTACCTCAGTCAATGAATATTTGCATATTATGAAGAACAAATCCCATTAATGGTTAATCATACATTAGGTATTATTTCTCAAGGAATCTTTGTTCTAGTGGAGCCACAAAGACATCACTGGTATTGATCCCCAAGGAATTGCTCTGGCTTTCAATCAGGCCGACAAAACTTGTATACAAAAGCTGGGCAGGTGGATAGGATAGTTAATATCAATTAGCTGTTCAGAGGATAGAGTAAGACAAAGCAAGGCTGGCATTACTCTTGCACTATACTTCATTAAAAATAATCCCTTATGCTAAAGTTACAATAGGCCAACCATGTGCAACGTATTATTATTATTATTATTATTATTATTATTATTATTATTATTAATAATAATAATAATACAAATGTCTCCACTGTCCTTTACAGCATTCAGTTAATGCAATAAAACATTTTTAATCTTTTCCACGACAGATGGGGTAAAAACTGAAGTTTGCTTCATCATGAATTCACCTTTATCTTTTAAACATGACCGCAAGTACACAGTATAGGAGTGTTAGAGGCCGATTATTCAGACTAACTCATATGCATACATATGTACTTGACTCAGCAAGCTGTAATGTCCCAAACTGAGGACGCAGGGTTCTATATATTGCCTTGTTTAAACAAGACCAAAGCCAACCTCTCACTGGCGTTTGCTACAGATTTCAAAAATACTGGAAGAATTGTAAAGCAAACTGAACCACTTAGCCATGACGCTGACACCCAGATATTGACAACATTTATACTACTAGTAGTACTAATAACCACAGAGAAAAATGGGTCACAAACCAACACTCAACACTGCATTCAAAACGCTACCTGTTGTGCCACCGGCTCCAAAATACTTTCTATCGTCTTCGTATGAAACACAGGCATGGTGACCCACGCTGTCGGCAACTCTGTGCACCTTTATTACAACTCAATCGGTGCAAGCGAACGCGAGATGCCTCAACTATGTTGATACCGACAAAGCGGAAATGACTCTGAAAGTGGAGCACCCTTTTAGCCTCGGTTTCGGGGCGGAGGTTTTCGCATCTCCTTAGGGATTCCCCCCTCTCAATTTTCAGTGTTTTAGCATTACCAAATGTTTAAGCAATTTTTGCACATTTTCTCGAGAACAGTTTTCTTGTGTTTGCATGGGGGATTTATCAAGGAATACTGAAGTGCATTTACCATTCGAATTAGCGGAACCCCTTGACCAGTGTTGGGTATCTTGAAACTGGGGTTTGCCGTAATACCAAAAATGGAAAGGTGGTCAATATGCTGGAATGTACGTTATAGTTCACTAAATGAAAAAGCTCTCTTCGGCTTGTTAATTAAGTGAAACTTAATTGTTTTTAATTCGTTTTCCCAATTGATAAATTAAACAATAAATTGTAAATATATTGTACATTTTATATTGTATTTGCTGGCCTTTACTATCTAGCTCTCCTTTTCTTTCATTCACATCTACTGCAATCAAAATACACAGCTAGGTCTGTCAGCTCAATGAAAAAAATCTATTTATCCGCTAAGATAACGCAGAAATAAACAATGCCCTGTTATGAGATAATGCTGTAACAGCAAAAATAATTACTGTGAATTTGTTAATCCAAGCTGATGGCGGAGGCAAACAGCAAAGTTTTTGTGTTAAAAATTGCGTAAAGAGGTGAAATAATATCTTTGTTTAATGGAACAACTTAATTAGGGGCTCATATCTCATAAACAAAACATTTCAAAATCAAACGCTAGCAATTGCAGCAAATTGGTAATCACAATTTCATACCTGTCAACATTGACAGTTGCCAGAGAGGGAGAATCCCTCGCACGCCGTACGTCCCCGACACACAGACACGCATGCAGTACGCACACATACACTATTGCCCAAAATGGTTGGTACACGTCGAAAATAAGTTCACTTTTTGGAATATTTTACTCTTATTTCTAAAACGTAACACTTGGTACGAAAAAGGAGTCGTTGCAGCAATTGACACGACATTAAGTAACATGCATGTGTACTATAAACACTTTTCAGTCAGTCACTTTCCACTGGTTATGACTGGAATGTCTGGGGTGTGTGAAACATGTCACAGAGTTTTGGGATAATGCTGGTGGGGTGGGGTGCGTTTGTCATGTTCTGTCAGTTTTCGCGGAGATTTGCATATTAGTAACTGTGTCTTCCCGTTACTGAGACCATGCTGCGACCTACAGATATCGTAATACGACACTAGATGGTTGCATATGCAAATATGGGCGAGGAACAAATCGAGATAGCCAGACGCCCGGTGTGGACAGGAAAACTGTGAATAGAATCTTGAGGAGAATAGTTGTGACAGGAAATGTGACACCTGTTAAATCTACAGGTAGACTGCGAAGTGGAAACACCAGAAGTGATCGTGTCATCATTAACCTGGCAAGAAGAGAGCGAGCCAAAACTGCCAAAACCATTGCCTTGGAGCTACAGGCCCAATTAACATTTGGCTCGATTGTCTCGCCAGACGGTAGACCGCAGGCTGTTGGAACACGGCTATCCTTCAAGAAGAATGTCGAAGTGGCCACTCTCGGCACCTGCACATCGAGCAAACAGGCTGCAGTGGATGCGCCAGAACCGTAACCTTACGGTCCAACATTGGAATCACATGGTGTTTGCTGATGAGTCCCGTTTTCTACTGTATCAAACAGATGGAACAATGAGAATGTGCAGACTCGTTGGAGAATGGCTGTTGACTGAAAATATCCAAGAAACAATAGCTGGAGGAGGTGTTTCTGTACATGTTTGGGGTGCCATTTGCAGCAACGGCACTTGCCCATTGCTTCTCTGGATGAAAACCTTAACGCTGCCAGATACAGGGACATTCTCTAACAGAACTTGGGGCCATTCGCAAGAGGGATATACAGAGACAATTTTAGATTGCAACATGACAACGCAACTCCCCATACAGCCCACTAAATTAACGACTATATCCGCCAAAACAACATTCAGAAGCCACAGCCAGCAAGCAGCCCAGATGCATACCCAATTCAGCACAAGTGGGACGAACTTGGTTGTGCTATTCAAAGGAGAAACCTTCCGCTGCAAAGTTAGATCAACTTCGAGATGCCCTTCAAGTTGAATAGACCAGAATTTCTCTCCAAAGTGCTGTAACTGTAGTTCACAGTATGCCGTCTGACGGCCATAATCCAAGCTCGCGGTGGAGTATTCCTGCTACGGAGATTAATAATGAAGTCTGAAGGGTTTTCATTACAATCTCCCCAAATTTCATATTAATTGTCAATCACAATACAAATTTATGTTTAATTTTTCACTTGTACCTGTTGTATAAAAAATACTCTTTTCGGGGGACATGAGGAAAAAACCCTTAATAAATAAACGCTTTTCTTAGATTTGCATTTTTTGTTTCTCTTTCACTTTGCTTATCCTCCAGCTTCACATATTTAGCAATATAGGCCTAAAGGGTATAATTTTGGTAATAACAATAATAATGAAAGAAACAGAGCGAAATGCATTCCAAAATTTCCGTGTACCAACCATTTTGGGCAAGAGTGTACAATGAACTGGGTTTTAATGCTCTGGAAAACAACGCATCAGTTTGGTTTTTTTTCTTTAGAAATGTATTATCAGTTTGCTGTAATCAAATACTTTGACTATACAAAAAAATGTCAAATTGGCAATTGAGTAATTTATTAAAGGCCTTTCAATGTTTCAAGAATTCCATCAGCTGTTTTACAACCTAGTCATAGCAGGGAATTATATAATTCCCTGGTCATAGGTAGTTATCAGTGGCGGATTTAAGGGGGTGTCAGGGGGTCCTGACCCCGCCCTTCCCCCCTCCTTCAATTTCTTTAAAAAATTACACCAATGGTCCCATTTTGAAATTAGAATTTTGACTAGCTGAATCATAGTTCTAAACCGTATCAAATGGCCCCGTTTGTCCTTTACATTACCAAAATTTCCGGGGCCCTTCAGCAGGCCACCGAAACCCACGCCAAAGAAGGGGTTAGGGTCGGCTAAGTATCCGAGGGCCCCCTCCCCCTTCAAAGAATCCTGGATCCGCCCCTGGTTATATCTCATGTCGTTGTTTAGTGTTTGTAAAAATAAATTTCAAATTATGCTAAATTTCTAACAAGCTAAGAATCTTCTTACACTTGCGTGATGATCTATATTCCAATTCTTTTTTTTCCATTTGACGATACGATGATACCTACCCTAAACCTGAATTTGAGAGTAGACCTATTAGAAATGATTACTTACTCTTCATTCACAGAGAAATCGGCTTGTATGTGCATTCTGCTTAATGGAGATATTCCAACAAACAGTAAATTAGGATTACCCGTGCCAAAAACGAAATAGACTGGACGTTTTTAATTTCGTTATCAATTTCCATCAGGATGTTGAGTGTAAATCATCACATTTCAGGTTGCGTTCTTTTCAGTCGCCAAAAGCGAGAGAGAGGGAAGAAGATGAAGAACTATCATTTTTCGCTGTGAAACGAACTGCATAATCCCATTGTAAATCCTTTATTTTTAAGCACGGCAAACGTTAATCTATATCCCACGACTTATATCTAAAACAAGCTTTGTAGGCCCCTTGAGAGAAAATGTTGTCCTGGATCAGGAAAAATAGTCTGAACAGTTTTTGTGAACGCTCTTTTATTACAACAGTACAATGGATTTAGGACAAGACGTCACGCGCTTTTTGTTCGATAAAAAAAAAACCTGTGGCACCAAAGCATTCCGTTATACAAAAGGTATCCTGAGTCAAATGTTTTTGTTATAGGGGCACACCTGGTTGTTATGACTCGCTCATTTACAAGCCTCAATTCAGCCGAATGGGATGTTAGGAGCAAGAGGTTTTAACTCATATTTGAAACAGAATATACAGTGAATGTATATCTCGATGACCGAACCTAGACGTTGTGGGTTAAGTTGCACCTCCGTTGTTGCATATTGTCGCTAAGCTGCATATTTGACTTTCAAATTAGCTTACGTTCGTTTGTATACGGCATACAGTCTGTACAGTGTCAAGAGTGGTTTTCATTTGAACAACCTCATTTCTTGACGCGATAAAGAGTGAAGCCGTTATCGTGTTTTTGTGTTGGTGTGTGTTTACATACGTTGTAGGGTAATTGACTTACAGGTTATATTACCAGTGTATAACACTTCCGAGACTGACACAGGACTGACCAACAGTCGTAGCCAACAGCAAGATGTAGCCTCGGCTGCTTCTTTTGGCGATAAAGAAAAATATGTGAATGACGAAAATGGAATTGGTTGTAGTGAAACGTCTGGCGCTGACTGCAATGCCTACTTTCGTCGCACTTGTGATTACACTAGCGATCATCGATTTTCGGGGTATGTCTTTTTATGTTCAAATCTTGTCTAGTTATAAAATTTCAAGTATGACACTTCATGCATTTATTTTCAGTCTTGTTCCTCACAGATTTGAGGGTAATATTCATGTCCATGTTCTTATCGCAAAAAAAGTAGTATATGACCGTTAGACCCTACTGCACATGGCTTGTGCATAGTGTATGTAGGTTATGCTTCTTTTGGAAGTAGGCCTATATCCACGTCTCCTACATAAATTTATGTGATAGGGAAAGGAAGAATGTTGAAATTGTTTTCAAAGTCTTAAGAAAACAAGGGGATATTAGCTGCCCAATAACTTTGATGGAATAGTTTTTGTATTCTAGGAATCTCAGCACTGAAATGTCACCAGTGTACAAACTGGCTGAATTCCAATACGAAGTGTAACAATGTGACTGTGCAGTGCACCGACCCCACTCACGACGCTTGCTTTACTGAGGTGATGAGATCTGCTGCTTTTGACAAAAAATATAGAAAGGTAATAATAGTGATCATAATTGTAGAGACATCTTATTGGGGAATGATACAGGTTTTTTTAACTTTAAATATTTTGATTCATATAAATAGAACCAGCAAACTTACAAATGACCAAGCATGGTGAACTCACTTTAAAATAGTGCAATTTCTACTCTGCCCCCCCCCCTCCCCCGATCGAAAATTGCATTTATACAAACAAAATATGTAGCATGCAATTACTACCCCTTGATCAAAAATTGCAATTAAAAATACAAAGAAAACAGGTAGCTGTTCTTTTGGTTTAAGCCAAGAGAAGAGTATTTTGATTATAAAAATTGGCATTTATTATATATGTACTTATGACCTAAAGCCTGAAACATTTTAATTGTCAGCAAGTACTTCAAAACCCTGTATTCTATTCCTTAGAATCTCCAAAATCTGAAAAGATTGGTAAACATTGGTAGAGATGGTTTTAATAAACTTTTTTCTCACTTTGAATGCTTGTTACAAAGACCAGGTATACTCAAACTACATACCAGTACTCAAGGGAGTCCGAGTATCATTCCATGCATTTTCTATATATTATATCTTGACACTAATATAATGTGAGGTATGTTTTATTCCATTCCAGGGCTGCATCAACTTAAGTAAATGTGAAGCTGACCAAAATATCAATAGTAGGAAATATTGTACTCAAATTCCATCAGATTGTACCTATTGCTGTAGTGGAGAAGACCTATGTAATGCATTCAACACAGGAACTCATCTCTCACAGAGATCTACACTTAAATATCTGGCTACAATCTTTATTTTATCTAAGTTTGTACTAGAATTGGTGTCTTGTGGATAACAACCCTATGCTTTTAGTGAATGCCAAGACATTTCATAATTTATAACTCCGAGGAAAAATGGGGTTATCACCACAAGCAGCATATCGGCATTCAAAGGTGCACTTCATTCATAACAAGTGTAACTTTGTTCATTCAATACTATGTAAGGAAACACCAAGCACTGCAGGCAGTGTTTCAATTAAGAAAGAATACAACAAAATTAACAGTCTATTTAAAAGACATGAAAAATTATGTAAAATTCTGAAAATAAATGTCTTTATTTTTAACCCAGAAAAGAATTTACTAATTGACTATAAAGCCATGTTATAAATGTGTACTTATGAAACACACTGGGTATCCATTTTCCGATTTGACAATTCTTAATTGTCTTTGGTGCTTAATTTATTGTTTCAAACGCTCTCAGTAAAAGCTTTCACAAAACAATTTTCATTAAAATATAATTGTGTCACTCACTGTCACCACCCTAAAAGATCGCTGTTAAAATATGTCATCTTTAATTTCAAAACTAGATCAACTTATAATATCCAATGTTTACAACACAGATTTTTTTCATCTCAATGTCAGTTCATCAGCAAAAGTTGCAAGTTTCCTGCCATTTTCAAGGAGGCAAAATGAACTATTCCTCCAGGTATTGGACATTGCATTAAATCTTGAGTTAAAAGGTGACTGTAAAATCCTCATCAACCTTTTTTTTAAATCTCATTTTTTGTGTTTCTTGTGTTTCCTTTTATGTCTTTTTCTCCTATGACTCTCCTTGGAATCACTGTCAGAATCTGAAAACTGGCTACTGTCAGAAGATACATTTCTCCTGTGTTTATTTTTATGTTTGTGGCTGTCAGCAGAAGATGATTCCGAGTCACTTTCATCCTTGTGCTTTTTCTTCCTCCTCCTTTTATGTCTCTCGTCATCAGATACTGGGGATCTGGACCTGGATCTGTGTTTCTTCCTAAAAATAAAAAAAATTGAGTAAAAATTTTAAATGTAAGCAACAAGAACAAGAGAAAATGATATTATTTGGTGACAGATAAACTCTCAATATACTCTGAACAGATATTTCCATCAAAAGTTATATTTACAGGGAAGTTATTAAAAAATCAATAAATCATAGTCAAGAGAGGTAACTGAAGCACTCCATAAACAAATACCTTGAAAAAACAGACCTTTTATGTTTTTCTCTTTTCTTTTTCCTAGGTTTATCTTTTTCGTTATCCTTTTTTGCAGCCTCCTCTGAAACCAAAGCATTTCATCCTATGAATGACATAACTGAAGCTTTTTCAAGAATTTTTTTCATTTTAATGCTGACCTCAAGTCTTTCATTAAGAATGTTTTTGAATATGAGCAAAACAATGAGCAAAAAAAAAAGTCACAGAACCTTCTCTGAAGTTCTGGCCCTCAAACAGTTGGTAAGAGATAAACTGGCTTCATCCTTCTCATTTACTACTAACCTTCATTAAGCTTAATAGGGGAATGAGCAAAGAAACAGCAAACCTTTTCCAAACGCACACCCTCCTTGAGGTGGGTAAAAGATAAAATAGTTATGTTATTTGTACTTCTTACCTTGTTTAAGCTTAACAAGAGGAGATACAAACTCTTCTTCACTATCAGAGCTGGTACTGCTCACATCTAACACTATGTCCTTGTTTGGATCTGCTTTTAAAAAGTTTCTACATTGGAATGTCAGGTGACCTGCTGTAATAATCAAACAGAAGAAATAAACCAACACAAGATATCATTTCAATTGAAAACATATTAAATAATGCTAAATTGCATATTAACTATATGTATGTGAATAATATGTACTATGAAATTGCAAATGAAGCAAACTGGGCCAAAATAACCTGTGATGGACAATTTCATTTTTTGCTATACAAGCCTTTGGCTATACTACAAATGCTGTGCTGTACTTCATTTCAATAAGGCCAGCCAAATTCAATCAATAATCTCTTTTTGGTAATTGATATCATCATAAGTTCTACAAGCAGTTTTCAGCCTTACATGCTTTGCAGGTAGTAGTAAGGCCTCATTCCAACCTGTGTTACAAACTTTTGAGGCAAGGCATGCCATTAAGTAATGAATAAATAAGCACCATGTACTTGCTATGTACACATAAGTTCTACATAAAGGTTCTATAGTGAAGATTCGCAGGGGCGGATTTAGGGTGTCTTCTGGGTCTTCCGGAAGACAGTCAGATTTTCAAGCTTACATTGACGGATATCTAATTTTTTCTGTCGGAAGACGGTCAAAAATGGAGGATGGATCAACAAAGATAATTTGGAAGACTGTCAGAAAATAACTCTGGATCCGCCCCTGATTCGGCCCAATAAATCTTCAGACTACTTAACCTTTAGACTACTGCTACAGCCTGGATATTTAAAATCTCAGGAGATTAAAACATGGGTGGAATAAAGCCTGTTAATACTAAGCAAGTGAGGCCGAAACCTGAAGCAAATACATACATGTACTGAGGAAGTTTTTCCAACTGAAAAACAAACTTACAATATCCACATTTTTTACAAGATGCTCGTATAATATCAGAGCCTTGAACTCCAAGATTCTGCATATTTTATCGAAGATCAGAAGTCCAGTATTCCTTACCAGCTACTGAAAAATATAAATAAATTAAAATAAATAGAAATGCTACGTTCTAATCAAACGATATGTTGGGTCGACAATCTAGGTGTTCAGACATGATAAATATTACAAGTGTCTGTTCAACGGTCGCATTACCACATATTATTAAATACTATATTTGGCTCAAATCTAACTAAAATGGTATTCTAACTTCTTCAATACATCGCTCACTCTGCAAACCTACCTTGAACACGCTCTTCATACGTTACTTTGTTTTCATAGCTCTAAGAACATGGCGACTTCCGGTTGAGATTGCAGTGCTGTGCTTGTCTCAACTATCACAGTAGATCGATCTATCTATCATCGGCAGTTAACGCATTTTCTACTAATTTAGCACGAATTTTCATCGACACAAAACAACACAAATAGTACATAAAGTACATATGGACTTTGCGCTTGATATAAATAGCATATAAATAAAATCGATTTCTCTTTTATTAAATATCTAATTGTATCTAATACGTGCTGAGTTTGAGGTCGAAGATCAAGCACAATTCATCATCAGACTACTGTTTAAACGCAGGCCTATTTGATATAATATATCGTTAGACACCCACTGGAAATGTCAGAAAAATGTTAACATTTGATTGACTGTGTCTGTTTTTATTATTAATATTTTCTTTAATGAGAACACTTTTTAAGAAATAAACACGAGATATGTAAGAGACCAAGATTATCATGCCCCCCCCCCTTCCCTTGGCGTGGGGTTCAAGGGCCCCGAAAATTTGTCACCAACTAGTTGAAATTATAATTTCAAGAGGGGTCCACTGGTGTGATTTTTTTCAGACATCGAAGGGGGGGGGGGGTCAGGACCCCCCTGACCCCCCCCCCCCCCCCCTCTAAATCTGCCACTGGGCTGACCTACACCTTTGCCTGATCTGGCCTACACTTAGCCTACTCCAGGCGTTTTCGTGTCTCCGTCGGCATCGAAGATTGCTTCAGAAGCACGTGCGCTACCATTGTGCCACCGACGACGACACATTGATGACTGAATTACCTTGTGTATTTACCTGACTCTTTGTCTTGAAATTAAAATATTTCAAAATGTTTCAAATGCACGTTAATAAAACCGACCCAATACCATTTAGGTTTAAAATTTTACGTCACTACCCTCTGTGGTATCGACGGTGTCACGATGAAGAGAGCGTAGAATAATATCTTCACCTGTACTCGCTATCCCCTCACAGAGATTTCAAATTATCCTATAAACATGGGCAGCTTTTTTGATGGTAGAAATGCAGAGTGGTTGTATTGGAGTTCTTTATCAACGTAAATGAAATCAACACTATATGTGGAACTGCATCGCCAACTACCGGTACCTGCGTGACTTCTTAAAACATCATTTTCTAAGATGTCTCTTACGATCGATTAATGCCTTCTTAACATATCAAATGCTTTCTAAATGACCTCACATGTTTGACTGTGTCTGTTTCTATTATTTATGTTTTGTTTTATGAAAACACTATTTAAAAATAAACATACGATATGTAAGAAACAAACCATTAAAGGTCGGTAACTTCAGGTGTAAAAGCTTACCATGGCCCATAATTTTTTTAGATTATCAAACTTTGTGGTCCTGGTAAAACAAACAAACAAACAAACAAACAAACAAACAAACAAACAAAAAAACGCCTTCATCCCCGTACCATCGACGATGCCACGCTGACGAAAGCGTAGAACAGTATTTTTCCCTGGGGCGGATCCAGGATTATTTGCATTGGGTGTTGTTCCGAGGATGCAAAGCCGACCTCCCCCCTTGGTGTGTGGTATTGTAGAGGACGAACGGCATTTGGTACAATTTAGACTTATGATTCAGCTAGTCAAAATTTTAATTTCAAGAGGGGACCATTGGCGTTTTTTTTTTCAGAAATCGAAGGGGGGGGAGGTCAGGACCCCCCTGATTCCCCCCCCCCCTTAAATCCGCCACTGGTTTAACGTGTTTATCTTTTATGAAAGATGATAAATCACGAATCACCGGGAAACATGACTTCATTTCACCAAAGGCGGAGAATGAAATGTCACATTCAAGGAAAAGGGGTGCTTCACAAATCACGCTAAATAAAATGAACGTTTTAGGCATCTCGGGGGGGAAAATGGCTTTCGCGGCTAACAAAAAATTCCCAATGCGACCCTCTCTCGTCATCGTGACATCGTCGATGGCAGCGCACATGGTTCTGAAGCAATCTTCGATGGAGACATGAAGACGCCTGGGGTATGCTAGGTGTAAGTCAGACCAGGCAAAGGTGTAAGTCAGTCTAGGAATAGCCTCTTATCTAAAAAAAAACTTAAAACTTTAAAGGATGTAATTAAGAAACTGAAAGGGGAAAACATGATGACTGAAAGTGTGAAAACATTAAATTATGGGCTATGGTCATCTTTCACACCTGAAGTTACCGACCTTTAATGGTTTGTCTCTTTTATATCCTATGTTTATTTTTAAATAAAGTGTTTTCATAAAATAAAATATAGATAATAGAAACAGTCTTACGTTTATAAAAAAAAGTCCAATATAAACAGCCTGCATCTGAACCATATAAAAAGCGACCCTTGTAAGGTGAATATGAAATCTGTGAGGGGATAGCGAGTAAGGGTAAACAGTGGTGGATTTGGCGGGGGTGTCAGAAAAATCACTCCAAAAGTCCCCTCTTCAAATAAGAATTTTGACTAGCTGAATCATAGTTTTAAACCGTACCAAATGGGGCCGTTTGCCCTGTAAAATAATTTTTCGGGGGCCTTCAGCATCTTTGAACAGCGGGCCCCGAACCCCACGCTAAAGGGGTGGTCAGCTTCGCATCCCCCCCCCCCCCCCCACCTTCAAATAATAATCCTGGATCCGCCCCTGCATCTTCTCAATATCAAGAATATTTTTCAGTATTTTTAAAGTTCAGTATCTTGAAAGCAAAGTGATCAAAGTGCGCGTTTAACACTTCACAAGCGCCCCAAGCGGAAAATCTAACAACTACTTTCGAAGCTGCTATTAACAGGAAGTTGCGCGTAGTTACTTGCGCATCAATAGCGGCATCATGGCTTCGACCGTGGAAGTTGTGGAAGATAAAGAGAAAGAAGCCACCCCCGCAATTGATAGAGAAAAGGTATTCAACGTTTTAATATTCTAGCTGCTTATGTACTAAAAGGTGTTTAATATGTTTAACTCAACTTAGTTTCCACACTTTGCCAATTACAGGTTTTGTTTTGGATCACATTCATTCAATCTTACATATTTGCAAGGATGATACATACATGTTCACTATGGTGTACAAAAATCTCTCTTAAATTCAACATTGCAAAATATATCATGGGTTCTCTTTTCTGTTTCAGACATGTCCACTTTTATTACGGGTATTTTGTAGTACGGGTCGGCACAACCCTGTCAGTGAATACAGCAGAGGAAACACTCCGTCAAATGAGTTGCAGATTTACACTTGGTATGGACTTTTTCAAGTACAAACTCCACTCTTTAGATCCACTTGTTACCGTTACAACTCTTTTAGCTTATTGCTCTGTAAGAATGTCATGATTGAAGGAAGAGTGTTACCATTTTAGTTATAACAAGGTCCAATATATTTATAAAATTGGATATTAGCAAGGTATAATACATTTATGTAATTGGATTTTCACCTTCTCTCCCTCATTGAAGAATGGCTTAATTATTTTAAGAATGTGTATGTCACATAATATAGTTAATCATTCCCTTTTACAGGATGGATGCCACTCTCAAGGAGTTAACCAACTTGGTGAAAGAAGTCAACCCAGATGCAAGAAGGAAAGGCACATTCTTTGACTTCGCGGTTGTCTATCCAGATCCAAGAAGTCCGGTGTACAGGACCAGAGAAATTGGAAGCACATGTGCTGGGAGAAAGGGAGCTGATGACCACTTGACTTTGGCTTCTAAAAGATTTCAGATTGGAGACTATGTAGACATTGCGGTGACACCCCCAGGGGCCAGGGGGGGACCACCCATTAGAAGAGGGAGGCCCTACTAGGAAAGCCTTTTTTTATGAGTGGCACCTATTTTCTAGATGAACTTGGATTTTAACTTCAAGGAAATTTCAGTGTATATTTCAAGTTGTTTCCACTACTGAGTGCATCTTCTTATCTGAGAAAATTTTCCATTTAATACAAGTTATTAGTTGTGAAATGTTGATCAGATGATTTAAACCAGATGTTTCTGGGTTGTAGTGCATTTAGTAAACAGTAGTGCAAACATTCAGTTTTTAATAGTGCATCAAATAAACACTTTCTTAAGAGAAATAATTCAAAGAAATTGGCACAAGACTTAAAAGTTAAATAAAAAAAGTTTTATAGAGAAAATGTGGCCAAAATTGATTTCATGATTTTATCTACACAACTACAAATACAGTAATTCCATATTCGGCAAAAACCTGATTCTCTTCTGAAGCAGCTTTGCATTAATAGCTGTTGCTGTAGGCAGTTTTACTTTTAAATTAAAAGGCTAAAATGTAGTGCAGCTGTGGTTGTGTTAAGTGATGAAAACAACTGACAACTACATTTTGTTGTCTTGGATAAAGCGTCATATGGCTAAAATCAAAATACATGAGCCCTTTAATATTGATAGGTAACATAAATTGAGGAAAATGACCAATTTGCAGCTTGAATAAGAACAAAAATCTGTTAACTTCCCTTTTCAAGGATCTTTTAATTTCATGACAATTACTTATAATACTATGATAGAAATGGCCGTTGCATCTTTGAATGCAAAATAATGATCAGTCATAAATGCTCTTACAAAATCAACCAGGAATTTAAATTAATGCAAGTAAACATGAAGTCAACGTTGATCCAAAAAATACTGTGGTCATCTATGATAAAACCAAATTATAGTTAGGTAGCCAATCATAAAACTATTTAATATTTTTGACATCTATGATGCATTTCCATTTTAATGGAAGCTATTTAGTTTGCTCAGAAGCCAATTCGCTCCATTCTGTAAAAATTGTGAAGGTTTACCACAAATTATGCTTGACTTCACTTTCTGACAAGTTTTAAGTATGTCACACTACCACAAAACATAGAAAGCTCTTAGACCGATTAGATTTACACTATAATGAGGGTAGGGAATACCCCCCCCCCATTTATCACCAAGATTAAAACAGCTTAATCACCAATTACCAAGACACATTCAGGACAATCACCAAGAATATTCCTGAATCACATTTTACACAGAATATTGGGCTCAAATAACGCATCACGCTTGAAAAATAAGGCCAATCACGCGGAATGCAAAAGGTATTCCCTACCCTCTTTACTGGCCTAGTTGCAACCAGAGCATGACTCGAACACCGGTGTAATAAGCAGATCTTCACATCCTCTTTCACTCTGCAACATACAGCTGTGAAGGCCACATGCATATAATTGTTGCAACTCTGGCTGGGGCAGTTTGAAATTGCACCTGGCCTTTAAACTGTACAACAAAAGCAACAGACAGGTCAATTAAATTTCAGTGTTTCTTCACACATTGTTACAAGAGATTAAAACATTGCTTATTTTACAGCAATACATGATATTTTAAAATAATAAGGCTGTCAGTATTGATGTCCTTGAGATAGCAGGAAAAAAATGCACTTTCTATAAAATTGATCAGATGGCACTAGTGGGATGGGATTCTAGCTTGAAAGCTATATACTTACATAAACTGACTTTCCCAAAATAATAATAATAATAATAAATAACATTAAGGAACAAGTTATCCTAGTATCCTTTTTGACAGATAATGCAAGTTCTTGTAAAATTATGGAAGATGCAAGTCTTTATGTTCATGATTGATTATTCAATAATATAATAAGGATAACATGTGGGTCATATATGGCACATTTTCAGAGTGAAGACTAGAAATTAATTTGCTCTAGGCTCCTGGATTTTCACACCGTTACAGTTGAACACAATTATAATGGAGTAAATTAAAGTCACCAGAAATGCACAATATAACAGCATTAAGAGCTATAATGTTATGAAAATGGCTTCTAATAACACTTAAGGCATACAATGCATTTTTAACCTCTATGTAGGAAAATAAATTCCTGTACATTTCAATAATTTGTCCTAAAAGGTATCCTTTTTTGGATTTATACATCAAATCTAATTTTCAAACTAAAAAGTTTTCTCCAACCTTTGAATTGTTAGTCAACTGATCCCTGCAGTTGGACTTGGTTTTTATACCATTTTAAATAAATAATGTAGTTCTAAATGACTCATTTGAAGGACCATGTTTTCCCGAAATTTCAGGAGGAAATGTCAACACTAGGAAATTTTTTGGGGGTTTTTATCATATTCACTGGTGAAAAAAGAAGCTTTGCAAAATATTTAGACATAAAATATGACTTGGGGCATTTTCAAATGTTAGTAGTATACCTTTTATCACCAAGGTATATCCTATATGAAACTGCTGAGAAAATTATAATTTATTACCACTTTTTTTAGTTCCAAATTTATATTGTTAGCAGTACAAGTGAGATTCACTAGTCCCCCAACCCCATTATAAACAAGACTTAATGCTTGGAAACTTAAAACTCAAAAACATGTTTGTAGATTGTAATTTCATCCTTGGTTTGGATATGGTGAAACTTGGTGATCAAGGGCAAAATAGTTTAAATTTTCAATGAAATAAACTTTTTTTCTTTATAAATGTCTAATGCTCATTGTGTGCCTTAAATACAATAAGATTATTTCAGATGTCCAGAACATTTCAATCAAAGAAACTATTTACACACACTCCAAAGTTTTGAGAATTATTCATTCCACCACATGTCAGCTAACTTTCTTGTCACTCAGACCACCAGAACACGACTTCTTTTTTACACAAAGAAAGCATCATATGCTTAATTATTTTCTCCACAACACATTTTGTAGCATGCATCTCTTTTACTAGAAAAATCAACTGAAAAATGATCAGTTAACATTTTATATCTTTACTTTGTTCGGATTCTCCTCACTGTTCTTCTCTTATTATCAAATATGTCTCTCATTGTATAGCACTTCTCCTCTGAATCTCTCTTGGGCACACTAGGTGCATCCAGAATAAGACTCCTCCTCATTGAATAAGGGGGATCAGGATTTAACTTCCCTACAGAAGAAACTGTTGCTGAAGAAGCTGAAGCACCATTTAAATCACAACTGCTGTCATTTGAAATTTCTGCTTCATGGACAATATGTGGTGCCACTTTGGCCTTGGATTTTTCAATGACAACAGTCTCTCGAGAAAGGTTCAGTGCTTTCTGGATATCTGCACTACCATTACTGGAAGTGCTGTCCAATCTGGGTCTTTTAGTGAGTGGGGCCACGTCACTTGCATCACTGTCTTCCCCATCCTCATTTGGACCAACCTCTAGTTTGGGTGTCCTCAGTATGATGCGCCTTCCAGGGTCAGATTGGCAGGAGGCACATGTAATGTGGTCCTTACATGAAGCTGGTGTAGAAGAACTACTGTGTTGGTCTTCTGAAAGGGCCTGGTCTTTCTGGTTACTGGCATTTGAACATGGATCAGTGTGATTTTTGCAACTGTTTGCACTGTTAATGTCACTGACATTTGCACATTTTTCCACATCGTCTTCATGGGTGACATTGCTTGTATTGTTATCCCTTTTTTCTTCAGACCTCAGATCAGATTTGATTGGAACTGGAATAGGAATAGGCAGTGGTATAGGGATGGGGAGGAATATTGGGTGTGGTACAAGAACAGTAACAGGTGGCATGCCTGCTCCCATAGGGGTCATAAAAGGTGGGGGTGGTAAGTGAGGGAATGCCATAAATGGTGGCAATGGAGCTGGGGATGGATGGGGCACATCTGATAGAGCTGATCCTGGCCGTGGTGTCACTGGGGTTTTCCTGGCATCTCCAGTCCTCTGTGGTGTAGAGGATGGAGAAGAGAAAGTAGCAGATGGAACTGACACTCTCGGATGTGGAAACCCTGCTGGCAATCCAAACCTTCCCGGAGTGCTAAAACGCATCATGGACTGCAAATTTTTCAATGACTGGTGTGATCCTAACATCCCTCCTGATGCTGCCATGAAATCCTGGTACATCAAAGCTGGTCCATATCCCCCCGGAGGTGACCCTAATGCTGCTGCAGAGGACAATGGTGGTGGTGAGATACTACTGCTGACAAAGCTGTGAGGGGTGCTGGTGGTGGAATTGGGACTGGCACTTCTCGCAGGACCTGGTTGATCTCTAAATCTTTGGTTAACGTGATGACCATGGGATTTTTCTTTCTGCTTGTGGTCTGTGGTGTTACTAAGAGGGGCTGTATGGCTTTGCTGGCTGAGTCTAGCAGCCACACTGTTAATGTCCTTTCCATTTCCTTTTGATTCTTTTTCTTTCAAGGAGATGGGGTCATCATTTATGTCTTCTTCCTCCTCTGCCCCACACTTGTCATCTCCTTCATCTGTTTCAGTTCCATGGTTCTTGGTACGATGATGTTTCAGTTTTCCTTTCATCCACAGGTCTGGTGTGATCAAAATCTGACCAGATGCTGGACTCTGTGATGCTAGATCTGACTCAACTTGTGTCTGTATCTTTTGCAAATGTTCTTGTGTCTCCCTACAAAATATGTTCATCTTGTACTGATTCAGACACTTTTCACTGCAGAACTGCAACTGTTGTTCTCCATCTTGGAAATCCACATAATTCACAGTATGCCTGACATGTTTGCACCAGTCACATATCTTGTTCTTTTTGAAAGAAGCTCTGCGACACTGTGTGAAACAAAGCTCACTGCAGAACGCTTTCACTCCAGCAGGTGTTCGTAAGGTGAACAGCTTCAGTCCTGCTTTTTGGCACCAAGCACACAGAATGTAACCAGATGGCAACTCTTTAATACCTGTAAATAAAGGAAAAGATGAACATATTTATATTAGACATATTTGGCATATTTCATATCGTACAACATTATCAGCCCTGGATCACTTTTCATCTTCACTCGCTGAAATTAAAGAGTACAAACTCAATGAAAAAAAGCCGATTGCAGTTGCCTTTGCAGACAAAATGTTCAAGTTTAGACTGACCATCAACTTTGGCAATTTGGCATATTTCATATTATACAATGTTATCAGCCCTGGATCACTTTTCATCTTCACTCGCTGAAATTAAAGAGTACAAACTCAATGAAAGAAAAGCCGATTGCAGTTGCCTTTGCAGACAAAATGTTCAAGTTTAGACTGACCATCAACTTTGGCAATTTGGATGCCCCTTGCCATCTAATCCCACAGATAACATCCCACAAAAATTGTAGAACTTATAACATCTTAGAAGCATCAAACCCAGGACTGGTCAGAGAGGCAAGAAAGTAATGTCTCAAATGAATATGGTTTGTCTGGCTATGTGAAGTCTTAAATTTTAAGTTCTACTATCTTGGACTACATGTATCAAATTGTCAAATTGAAGACAAAAATTAAGATGCAGCATGCAGTACTCATGTAACCAACACTGCATGGATCAAATAATGTAAAGAATGTACAGAAAAAACACATGGAGAACTAAAAGTTTCACATATCAGTGCTTCACTCTAGCCTTTAAATGACATGACGAGATGGAATTATACCCCGAAGTCCTTGACTAAGCTACCATGCATCTATGATGCTGTTATAGTAAAAAGTCAACTAGGATTTACTGGTAATGTAATGACAACGAGAGAAGACGGACATCCAAGACAAGTTTTGCTCAGGCAGACAAAGCAAAGAAAAGTATAAAAACAGTAAAAAGGAACTTTTGAGAACAACTTCTATATAACTACAGCACATGCACACTGTAGTTGCCATGGACAGGACCTAGAAGCACTCCTACATTATTATACATTAATTAATGAAAAAAAAAAAAAAACAAAAATTCCCAACATATTTACTGTTCACATATCCAGAAGCCTTAATGTCAATTTCACAGACAACATGAAGCAAATTAATTCAATATTTTCTTAATTCGTCCTTTTTTTTCAAAATATTCCAAACTGCCCTTTTCCTATTCAGTTACCTTTTTTAATCCCAAAAAAAGAAATAATGACACAATACTTACATATATAATGACATCAATGTTTTGTTAAAATACAATTTAAAATCACTGATAAAATGTTTTTATATTCCACAACATTTGATTCCCTTTTAAAAAATATGGATAAAAGGATAAAGGTGGATAAAAAAGGTTAAAAACAAATAATTCTCACAGATGACTTTATCCAAACTACTCCATTATCTTGTTGTAAACATACATATGTTTGTTCATCAAGCCAAAAGTACAGTTGTACAAGATTTTTTCAGCAAAAAAACTGCCAACAAACTCTCTAGTTACTCCCAGGAAGCCTTCTATGTGCAATTTAATATTTGTTATAGCACAAAGATGCCAAACAGCTGAAAGAATTTGAGGAAAGGAGATTGATTTAGACTCACATTACTACCAAAATCATAGTGGTAATTTTCTCAGGGGAATGAACAGCAGAAAGATTCCATGTCAGTTCATATGCATCATCCACCTTAGCAATATTTTGTAAGTTGTAAATGAGTTTATTGGAAACCAAGACAACAGAAGAACATAACACCTTCACTTTGCAGAGATCAGGTGATGTCTTTTGTACTTTAAGGTCAAGCTACAAAAGATGGCTTATATTTCTGCTGGTTTCAATTAGCTCCTGATTTTTTTAAACTTTCAATGGGCAGATGTTCAAGTTTGCTGATGAATGTTCTGTAGACCTGTTACAGTTTGTTAAGCATCATCCTTCTTTCACATCATCCCTCTTTGACAAACTGCTGGTCTTAATCAGTAGTAACCTCATTCTACTACTGAGCTTGCAATTTGTAGTTAGGGTACACACACACACGCACACACACACCACACACACACACACACACAGGTATGCACCTTCAGGCATGCACACATACACCATAGCATCTCCCTAGTTGTGAGATTATATCTAGGGAGGAGACAGATCTGGTACACAGACTCAAAAATGGTAACCTTACCCTTAACCTGTACTTTTTACAGATAGATTTCTACCCTTTTTCTCATTAAGACCATAAAATGCCCCCCCCCCCTTTGAAATATTTACAGGAAACTTTTGTTATGTTCATACTTCAAAATTTTAATTCTAACATTATTCTGATTTTTGCTTTTCTGAAAAGACCTACAGGTAAACTTTCTATAACTTGATTGTATCTTTTATATCTTAATGTGTTTTATATCTTGAATGTGTAACTCATCTATGGGTATACTACATCATGGCAAATATTGTCAGTGACTGATCATAGGCAACAAAATACAACCAGAATGTGTTCATCAGGTAAAACAACCCCTTATCCATTTTTTTTTTGTAAAATTTTAAGAGGAAAAAATAGCCAACCCTAAGATTCTAACTTTTTCAATGGTAGTCTTTTTCCTCATGCAGCTCTCCCCCCCCCCTCCCTAAGGGGTTAATTAATCAGTGAAATGTTAGCAATTGCCATTATGCTTCATGAAACTTTTTGACAGCAATATATGAACTGGAAACAGATTAACTGACTAATTACTTAATCAATCCATCAATGCCCATAAAACAAAGTAATTACCATACAGTTCTTCAAAGTATATTGTGTGTGCATGTATCATAGGCTGCTTGATGAATTTTCTATGAATTTTCCTTTAATTTTAAAAACAGTAGATCCATGAAATATTGCACTGACAACAGTGCAAACTAATTTTTTCAAAAACTTCAAAATAAACATATCACATAATTACAAAGTCAATTTAATATTAGGCTCCAAGTGAAAAATATGACATTGTTAAAATGCTGATTCAGAGTAAAGCTCTGCCTCAGGCCCTTTTCAAATTAAGTGGACTAAGTCTTTTTCCTCTTTCTAACCCCTTTTCCAACCCTTTCTCTATATTTCTGGATCACTGAACATAAAACTTTTGTTTTTCTTATAACTGAAACAACCGAACAAGACTCTGGCTGTGTCACATCACACCTCTTAGACTTGTTGAAGAACCCAGGTAATATGTCACATCTATTCATAGTTACAAATGGCAACAGGTCATTGAAAATGCTGATCAAAGTATTTGGTTTAGAGGGGTATCTCAGATTGCTTCTTTACTTCTTTGCACTTTGATATCTGACTTTATCGGAGTTGTCCTTCAGTATTTTTTCCCTTTACTTTACTAACAAATAACTTATAAGTTCTGACAAATATGTTAACTTTGCAGAATTTTTGATAATAAAATTCTAAATATCAATGTATAATATAATCTTATCAACTTTTCTGTAAAAATTTACCATATCCCTCGATTGCAGACTGCCTGGCTTCTCATGTCTAGCTAGTTGTGTAATCAGAGATATAAGCAGAAACATTCATGTAAAAGACTACATGGCCAAATGTTAAACTTGATATTTTAAAGTGTTGTATCCTTGCAAATGTAATGTGTGTCTAGTGTAACCCAAGCCTGAAGGTCACCAATTTTCCAGAACTGAAGATTAGATTCTGTTCTTTGGCAGGCACATAACCAGGGGGAATTCTTTGGATTCAAAAGAACTGCCCACTTTGCTAGTTCAAAACTGGCACCTGGTATTTGCCAGAGAAGTCCCAAATTTTGCCTCAATTCAAATTAGCATCTGGTTTCTAATTTTATTGCCTTGTTTTTTGGACAAAAGAATGGTTATATTCACCCAAGCTTGTTTTAAACCTTGATGAATGCAAATCTTCTTCATTATCACAAAATGCAGAGTAAAAGGTCCCCAAACTACTAGGTTATTCTATTGACGAGTCCATAACTGCACTTTAGAATTCCCCCTTATCTAATTTTCTGATTATGGCTCTACCTGGTATAAGTGAGAAAAACAAAGGAAGCATTGATTAATGGTAAACCTAGTTAATTAAAATGGGACCTTAAAGTTGTTTTATTTGACAAAACATGTCAGATTCAACATGACACCAAAAGGTAAAAGACATACACAGTATGTCAGAGGTTCTCTTTTTTCCCTTTTTGTCTGTAATAAAGCTATTATTTTCTCTTTCTTAAAAATTCATTATGATAATTTCTTTTTCTGAGAATACATGTCAAAAAGATTAGAATCAGAATTGGAAAAGATTTAAGTAATATATTAAATGCATCTATCATACCAATATTGAAAAATGGCATATTTATTTCAAAAGGAAAAGAAGTACTGAAAAATAGTCCTAAAAGTTCCTCGTTTTCTGAACACTTTTATAGTGAAATTTTCATTTTTCCTCGATGGATAAAAACAGAACCACTTAGTCTAGGCATGTTTATATATATCTAACCAAAAACCTATGATAGGAAACATCTCTATAAACATAACTAGCAAATGGAAAATTATGTAACTCCCAGAGCATTCCAGATAAACATACCCAAGTAAATATGGAAAAAGAGGTATAGGATAAAAATTCTTGAAAAACAAAATTAATCTGATACACTAGCCCTCTGTCAGGATCTTGACATAGTTCTGTTCTGGAAATCCATAGATGTTGGTAACCTAAGTCTGGGGTCTCGTCAGAGAACAGGTGTATGGTTATTGAATGCTTCACCAAGTGTAATTCCAGCTCAAAATCTCCACACAACCAAGCTGATAACAGCAACACACAAAAGATATTGGATATCACATGTGGGTAGGATACCTATACCATTACTTGCAAGGCTGTTTGATTTCGGCATAATTGCTGCTCCAGTAGTCGGTGACATTTCTCTATTGCAGATGCTTTCTATGATAGAAGTTGATTGGGGCATGCAATGACATGCTATATAGAAATACCCCCAACTGATCATGTGAAGGCCAAACAAAAACCACTTAGGCGTTTGAAAAAACTTGATACTCCACTGTTCTCAAAGACTAAAAAATTAAAAAGAGTTGTGAACTGGAATTAGCATTCTTTTAAATGTTGTAATGTTTGTGTCCTGAAATGATGAGTTTGACTCCTGCATTAAAAAAATCGTTGGCATGTTCTTGATCTGAATTAAATCAAAGTGAATTTTTCCTCATTTATGATCTTACTTCTCATAAACTTTTCCTTAACAGGTCTAAAACTGATTCATAATGTGGCATTAAAATGTCCAAGTTATCTACATTTCTTTCTCCTTTTTTGTTAATCACTTCAACAAAACAAAAATTAAACTACTTTAATAGAATAGAATGGAATAGAATAGAACACAACACAACACAACACAACACAACAACATAACATAAAACACTTCAATAATAATCATAACCAAAGGGGTTAGTGCCTTTTCTTTCACTTTTTCATCCACTATGACTCACATCTCTTGTGTTCAACAAGTGAAAGACGTCTTAACTCACCTTTGGCTTGCTTTGCTGCTGCTTTATTTAGAGCAGAAACCAAGTTCTGGTGTTGAGCTGCGAGCAGGGAGTCTGAATGCAGAGAGACTAGAAAAACAACACACACATATAAATATTGTAGGCAAACATTAATTATAAGCAAGTAAACTAACCATTGTCATAAATAACATGTACATACTGCCATACATGTCTCATTACCATGAGCTGATATCAATGCAACACATCTAATAAGATTATTTTGGGAGTGTCACAGGAGGATCTTGTACTTCTAAATAAGAACAAATGGAAAACTATGCCCAAGAAAATGGAGAACTATTTTTGACTTTGATCACCACTTATGTTTATTTTTCCAAACCTTTTTCCAGGTCAAAAGTTCTGTTTTTATACATGTACCTGCTCCTTCTCCTCTTCCTCGTATCCTCCTGCTGTCCTCGCTGCCATCTTCACTGCTGCAGGTGCTCTCATTATCCCCTGGGGTGCCTGAGGCAAACCTCTGCAGGTCAAGGGCTTGAGTGTCATTGCTGTCCACCTTGTCATACCCATACCAACCAAGGAGCTCATTCATGGTGTTCTCAGCAAAATTCTGCAAAGACAATTATATTGTCAAAAAAATAAGTACACGTAAGAGTGAATTAGTTTCAGATAAATTGATGCACTTCACAAATATTGGCGGATGGACTCTGAAGAGAAAACTAAATTTTAAACCACTTACCTGGTGTATGATTAGGTTTCAAATCTCTTCAATTGCTCTTAAATGATCTCACAAAGAAGAGTTTTGAATCTAATTATGATCCAAAATGATTTATTTAACCTCTGTTCATTGTTTAAAACACAAAACCTCTTCAGAATATGTCCATCTTATAACAAGCCACGCACAAACACAAAAGAAGACATGGAGAAAAATATGTTCAATAATATATGTACATATGTATATGATTGGACTGATAAATACGTACATAATGTACTTTCATTCATTTTCAGAGTATGACTAGCTATACATGATCCAGGGCAATCTACAGATTGATTTTGGACTATATATATTTCAGACACTCTAGGGATAATGTTACACTGATAATGTAAGAGACACTACCTCGTGAAAATACTATATTTTACAGAGTATTTAAATGTTCATGTCACAATACACATGTTATCAATACCAACAACCAACAACTGCAACAAAGGAAGCACGAAAAGAATTGCAATAATGAAAAAAAAAAATAAATGCAATAAATACTATTGGAATCAATTGCAAAAGAATCAGTCAAAAATAGTTTAAATGAATCCCAAATATCCAACAGGCTTAAATATGAGACGCATGTCTGCCTGAATTATTTATTTGTGATATCATATTTCAGAGCAAATGGATAGTTCAAGGTGATTCAATCCTAGACCTTCCTCACACGATCAATTAAGCACACAGAATTCTAACAATAAGTGACAGTAAATTTCACTTTACAGAATATAATAACCCTATCAAAGCACTGTTTTATCAGCTTCATATCTTTGTATTGTTTGATCTTCAGAACAGTTAGAAACTTATTTGCATCACCAGCAAAGGTTTTTTATTATTAAGTTTCTCGAACCAGTTGAAAATGTCAATATGCATCATACACCTTGTGGATGAAAAAACAACAAAGAGCTATCCATTCCTGGTAGACGTTACAAATACTGATATCTACCATGAGAAATCATACACCATGAGAAATCACAAAGGAGATTCATTGCTGGAATATGATATGTTAAGATTCAGAAGGTCAGGATCTCTATTGTGGGCACATAAGACACCAAAGTTGTAAACATGAAAGTCCTGAAAAAAAAACAGATATAACAAAGGTATTATATCATCATTGCTTTTTTTTTTCAATTATATATATTCAAAACATTCGCTGAAGCCATCACAGCTTGAAATGTTCTGTAAACCCTCATCAGTTGACTGCATTACCCCAGACTGCAACTCATGACACTTGAATATACCAGTCAACATTTAACCCTTAAATTTAAAGTTTGTAAAAATTAATTAGTCAGTCTGAACACCTAGCACCTCTGATAATCATGACAATGTGTTGAATGAAATACTAAGGCTTGGCAAATTTAAGTAAACATGTTCTAAATCCCATCAGCTATTGATATTTGTTTAATAAATATGTAATCCTGCAACCAATGCTGTGTCAATAAAGGTCATTTGTCAATCTAAACTTTATTATTTGTTTATCACTGCTATTACAGTGTGTGTCTTACAAATACACTTGTCACAAATGAGGTATACATGTATAGAAATATATACAGCACATTGTTGTTTATAATCATAAATTTCCTTCATTATCTAATTAACCTCAGAAACATTTAGTTATTTAATTGATCTTTTCATATTTCTTGATCATGGCATTAAGACAAACGTACACTTTCCCATACTATCTAAATTTAGTTTATTAAAGCTAAGCGTCATGTTAAGACAAAATCATTTCAAACCAGCCTTCTAAACTAACTTGTCACCCTTGAATATACTGATAATTCATAACTGCAATAGCATTAAATTCCTATCACAGTTGCATGCAAGTTACACTTCATAACCAAATTATAGTCCTGTGAATATTGACATATTTTTTAAGGGGCGTGGTAACATATTCAATGACTGCAGGAAAATTCTGACTGTCATCTTGGTGGGACAGGCTCACTGCAAATGGTAATCAAATGCCAAGCTTATACCCTAATCAATCATGGTGTAATGAGATAAAATGCCAAATTCACGCTCAAATGGTAAAAAGATACATCTGAAATAAGAAACTTAATAACAAAATTAATACGGACTCAGCTATCTATTCAAGTTGGATTCATTTCAGTGGAGCAGTCTCAGAGGACAGTCATTCCATCTTCTCTTCTGCTGTCCTTTTCATAAGAAAATGGGTCATTGTCAAAAAAATATTTTCCCAATTTATCTGCATTGCCCAGGAAATCATCTAACGATAAGAATTTGTTCATTAATATATATCATATATCATATTATAACAGACTTCCTTTAAAAATACATAACAATTTCAGAAAAAATTATTCATTTATTTCTAGAATACTTCCTACTAGTGCCTTCATTCATTGCCAAAGTGAAGATAAAAAGCATTCAAAATCTTCTTTGAAGGTGCAATTTGATAAACTACTACAATGATTAGTAAACAGAGTTGTTATTCCTTCTTATTTCTCTGTGAACATGGGGAACATGCTTTAAATAGTTTTCAAAATGGCTTTATCAATAACTTTAGAGTAAAACAGTGTTTTGATGACAAAACACATACAACCTACATCAAGTTTCAATTGACAATCTAAATACAATTTTGCAAAAAACGTTGACCATTTCAGGAGGAAAGAGTGCTTATTCTTGTTTACACTTACATGTATCTTCATATTTATTTATTTCATTATTTTTGGATATCATGAGACTCTCGTGTCGTGAACCATGCTATTTACAAAGTGTGTTAAGATGGCTGACTACTAAGGTTCGCAGTGGACAGTGAATATGAATATTTTTTGTAATACTGATTAAGGCCATTTATCTGTCATTTTATGCTTTAAAAGTTTAAATTGCCCTCAGATAAGTTCAACAAGAAGCTATTTGTACACTTAGAATGCACTTTAAATCCTACACTGGATGCCTTTAACAGTTTTTGACTGATGTTTGTAGGTAAGTCAAATAGGTAAAGAAAGAAGGGATAAGCAATACGGTAACATTTTTTTGGCATTTGTACTTTGGGCAAGTGCTTTCCCAAACTTTTATTCAAATTCACTTGCTGCGCCACCCCTTCCACAAATAAAGGCTTGCAAGTTTTTTAGCTTGGAGATTTTTTTTTATTTTCACCTCCACCAAGGTGGTTGTATATGTTTTTGCCTTTGTTGGTTTGTTAGGTTACATCCTAATCCAAAAGTAACATACATTTTTAATAAATAATGAGAATGAAATTAATTAATAATGGGAATTGACCTGCCCTGATATTGGTTTGCCCTCCCCAAATACTCTTGTACTTAAATTGCTATTAATTTATTTGTTGATTTATTTATTTGTTTATTCTTATTTTTGGACAACCTCAGTCAGGTGAGGTAAAAGTCTGACAACTATATGTAGAAAAAAGTCACTTGCCTATTTGGGCAACTAGTATTTTAACTTACCTCATGACACCAACTTACATGTAATTTGTTCTGAATTACCATACAAGTCTTGTTGCCAAACTCTGGGAAGATTCCTTTCGTGCTGGAACTAATTATCTAGACACTATTTTCAAAATCACAAATTATACAAAAACTTGTTTTCTGACCAGTTCCTTAAGTCAAATTGGTCTTTTTTCATACATTATGTTAATATAAAATCAAACGAAAAAGAAAAAAGTCTTACCATATTACTTTAATAAATGCCAATAGTAAGTTCTATTACCACAAGCAACTGCAGCATTAAAAACATATCCTAGATTCTCAGAAAACTAAACAAGATACTGCACTTGCGAAAATGTAAAATTCTGGACAGTAAAGCTTGAAAATATACAGATATTTTTAACAAAATAAGCTGATTTTACCTTTATACTAAACAAAGTCTACTAGCAATTTCAGGTAAAACAAAAATATGTTTTGACACTTATGGGGTATATATCACAAAAATAACATTAAAATAAACAGCTCAAGCTGACATATGGACAGACAATGCAAAAATGTCAACAAGTTCTTTGTGCTGTCATAAAAAAGGATTGTAGACACATTCTAAGTAAGCAAAAGATGCATTTTTAATCAAAGTGAGCATATAAGCGAACTTCTTCTTTAAAGATATAAAACAATGCATTATCAAACAACAAACGCATCAAGCAATCCTTTTCTGCAACAAAGTAAATAATTACCTGCAAGAGAAAAATGAACTGTTCTTTCAAAACTGTACTTTTTTTTTCTACTGAAAGTGATATACAGTCAGACATTAACATGTTACCTACTGGTCATAACTCAATATGCCACCTGTAGAAAGAAATCGGAGATTGTTAATAAATGTAAGCTTTTCCATATCACTTTCTGTTGAACAAGCACAAGAAGGCATCTACAAATATGCTAATAGGAGCTGCATTTAGAATGAAATCCATTAAGGTGTTTATGTTAGACTACAAACCAAACTTAGAAAAAATTATCTCAATGTTTAAGGTCTTTAATATTTTTATTTCATTAAGTTTTCTTTCTTCACTTTAAACTTTTTAATAAAGTTTTGTCAATTATATTTTGAACTTTCTAGGAATAAGTTTTCTCTCTTCTGTCAAGTCATATGAATGTAATTCATTTTTGTAAGACAGTTTTGAAAAACAAAGGACTATCAAGACGGGCCCATCAAGAAGACATATTTGGATAATGCAGATGAATTTTAAACAACCGAATACTCTGATCACAATTCTGAAGCAGTAAAATTTCCCTCAATGCTTGTTGGAAACCCACTGCAGTGAGCAGTATACTCTGTCAGAGGAAATTGCTGATATTCAATCTCTCTGTATTGATTACACAATGCTATTGAAAACTAATAATATCTTCACAAAATGCTACCAAACACAAAAGCTGTAGGGATTACATTAAATATCAAAGATCTTTTCAAAGTACATTTAATCTTTAAAAGGAAAGCAACACTGAAGCAGAGGAAATCAGGAGTATCACATTGCAGAGCAGGTTATTTGTCCTGGGTAAGAAGAGAAGCTGGCATGTCGAGAGTAACTGTTTTTAATTTGCAATCAGAGCCCATAGATTTCAAACAGCCAAGAGATGAAATTAAAACTGCCAAGGAAGCTTCTGGAGGTATTGATTAAATGTGTAAAAAATATCTCTATACTCTCCCAAGTGAAGTCCCCGTTCTGCTGTCGCAGTGCGCTCCAGCATGCATGCATTCACCCTAGAGAAACCAACCCTTTAGGCTGAGCCATTTTCTAATATTGTTGCAAAGAAAATGGGAAAAACAATACTGCTGCATGCATCCCCAAAGACCTTGCAAATAAAAGATATAATGTGGTAAGTGGGCAGTACACCACAGCAGGAGCTTGCGATCCTGGCTCTGGTTGAATTTTCATTTCCCTTGCAAAATGATACCCTTCATCTAAAAGCAAGCAAATGCCAGGTTAAGGGCCTCTGATACCAGAGCACAGAGGTTCAGTTACTTATTTTTAACTCACTTCAACTGATAGTTTAATGGACTACAAAATGGGAAAAGGATGGGTGGTGTGCAATTGTCATCAAACACAGAATATAATCCTATTGACTCTCTGGGTTTAGAGCACTGCCATGATAGCACACTGCGCTGCACCTCTTTTCTGCTGTGAAGTGCTTTCAGACTTATTTTGAACACGTTGAAAATTATGACTAATTCAATGAGTTAATCTAGGATGCAAACAGTCTCAAGATTGGCCTAGCTGAAATTGGATAAGGGAGGGTTAGGGAGGCAGACGCTGTGAGGAAATGGCTAAAAATTCTGGCTTTTGACAGATCTGTAAGCACAACTCCAATGCTGAGATTAAATTACTAAAAGACAAATACAAATGGTAAACATAATTACCGGCATGGAAAAAATTGATGCAAGAAGACACTGCATAAATAGATGGTTTGAAGCCCATTTGACGCCACACATTATCAAATTACATACATTTGCTCAAGCGATCAGGTAACATCAAATGGATTTTGACTTTCATTTATTGCATAAACACATTCTACAAAGAAGGGTTAGCTTTCATATTGGGTAGTCTTGTGCATGTAATTTCAGCATTACAAAAGCTGATCCTGCCAAGATTAACTTTTTTCATACAACTAGATTCGATGACAACAAAAAAAGAGAGAGAAGAAAGACCACTGGCTCAGTTTTCAAAAGAATACAGAATGAAAAAATTACACATCTGTGCATAAATCTAGACCACATTTTGTGCTAACTAGAACTGATTAACACATTTCTGCCTGGGAGATTTTCTCTTTTTTTTTTTCTTTTTTTTTTCAGATATACTTTCAACCACAGAAAATTTAACATTTTGCCTCTTTAAAGACATGTATACATAACTTGGTTAACCACCCATTAAAACCCCAATGTCTATTAATACAAAAGTCATCGATATGTTTTCAATACAATTAATTATTATCCTTTTAATAATCAAACGATAAGTTTTCTTCCGACAATATAGAAAAGTCACGTATAAGGCATCTTTTATACATTTTTTCCTTTTCATACTGATCTGGTGTAAAAGTGTCTGAAGGTAAATGTTTTATGGGCTCTCCACCTGGGTGGTGTTACCTGATATGGGTAAATATCTGTAATTATTATTCACTAAGGAAGTGGTATTGACAAAACTAACTTTCACGCTGTTTGAGCTTGAATGTACCAGAAGAGCACACAGTAAAATACAACAATCACCACACTGAAACTCCTTAATGATTAAACAGAAATATATAATACAGCATCAAATTCAGTAACAGGTGACTTCAGTTCTTGTACATTTTATTGTTCAAATGTACAATAGCTTTGTGTACTTTTTAATCTAAGATAAAGACAACATTACATCGACATGACAACATCTTCAAAACAGGACAGGAAAACATGAATGGTGAAACTGGTAAAAGCTACACAGAACAGTATAAAATTTACACACTCAATTTTTCCAGTGGTCCCTTCAATTGCTGAAACAACAGCTATAATGACTCCTTTTTGAAATGCACCTGCCATTTAAAAGGTATAATTTCTGTTAACCTAAAATGAAAGGAAATTGAAAGATAAGCTCATCAAGCAGATAATTAAAACAACAATTATGCAAGCAAAATATGAATTACCATATCATCGGTGACTCCACATCCACCTCATGACAACCAATTCTGGCACAAATGCACACAATTTTCAATCTAAAATCTGCATGGTGAAAAAAACTTCAAACGCAGACTTTCAAGCTGTTAGAAGGAAGATATTTGATACCCCAGCAAGCTATCTGCTCCAGTGGCCTGACCTAGCAGTGTTGTGGATAACCCATATCATTTTGCAGCAGCTGAAAACAGCCTGCAATACTCATGCCTGCAAGTTACCAGTCCTGGAAACAGCAGCAGACAGGGTTCGCCTTGTGTATGTGTTTGGCTCCTGCTTCAGACATGAGGCAGTTATGAACACAGTTTCCTCTCAAGTCTGTAACATCAGTATAGTTTTACCACTGAAAACACCATGTCAGGTAAAACATAACAAACTTGAAGAATGATATTATCATGCCTTTTTCAGGATATTAGACCACTTTCATCTTGATGCATTAAAACTCCATTTGTTTTTATCTAAAATCTAACAAGTTAATCAAATTTATACGTACCTTATGGGAACAGTTATTTGTTAATACTGACTGATATACTTAAAATATAAGGATAGGATATTAGAGTCACATTACTAATGCCAGTTCACAATTTATGGATACCATAACTCAGATGCATTACACTGTGGTCTAAAGAAAATTATAATCTAACAAATTCCAAATATCTTCAGACTTGAGTTTTTGCCAAAACCCTGGCATTTATTCATCTTCAAGCAAAGTTAAATTTTCTTTATCATCATAAATTAAAAAAGTAAATCAGAAACTGATCACACAACACTACCAAGGAATTTTATGTTAATGAATCCATGTTGCCATAATAATGCATAAATTGGCAGTGGCTTATAACAAATAATTTAAATAATCTGAATTTGACCTTATTTCTAAATTTAGAAACTTTCAAGCTTTAATCAAACAGGGCAAGACATGTACTACCAATATATTCATAAATTTTTAAATCTGGTAAAAACATCCCTTTTATACCCTCTCTCTCTCTCTCTCTTTTCTATATCATCACCGTGAAGTTTGTTTCACATAACTGATATTTCTTCAAGAATTAACTTATATTGGTAAGCATGTGTATTCATGCATTTTCACACACACACACACACACACACACACAAACACACACACGAATTGGTGCACAATGAAAACGCTTTCTTATTCTTCCTTTTTTTCTTGCACAAAATGTTTTTTATAATCAATATTTTATGAAAAAATAAATGTCATTTACGTGTAGCTCTCGTATATATTTCCTTCATGCTTTCACACATTCTGGAATGGGTAATTCGCTGGTGTAATTGCTCACTCTGCGCATTTCATTTAAAATTCTGAACATGCAATTTGGAGGGATCAGTTGTTTAGGTTAGCTACAAGAAACATATCTGAATTACCGCCGGTTAGAGGATTCCTATAGCACCTGACTACATGTTACTACCGCGATCATTTCATCTCCTAAGATAGTCGATCGTTTTGTGGCGCAATGTTTTCGATTCCGTGATATTACACTACTGCTGTTCTCTACTCTGCTAGCAGACGATGTTTACCTTGATGTCATCTTTCGGTTCTTCTTTCACAACAACTACGGCTTTCCCCTTCTCCTTCAAGTTTGCTGCTGCTCCTTCTCCTTCCATGGCTGAGCCTGATAATGCCCGTTTCAGCTCTGGGCGAATAATATCGACGGGGATGAAGAAACTTTGACTTGTAAGCTGAGACGGCTGCTATTTGATCCACCATATTGAGTTTCGTTTCACACATGCGCGTTGCTCGAGCCGAAGAAAAGGCAAACAGGCGCATAGTACGAACGCTGATTACTAGAAGGTCTAGGTTGGCTGTGATATTTACTTATTTTTATAATATTATCGAGGTTTCATTTCACAAATAAATACAATCGTTGACTTTTTTTTAGGAATTTCCCCAGATTTAATTGAGAAACCAATTCTACACAAAACATCGCCAGCGCTGAGTCAGCTTCTACGGGCCAGCGGGTGGTGATCGAAAAGGCAACAATAACGTAAAGCAGGTACAATTTAAAGGTGCCAACAGATCTGAGAATTTTGTATTTGAATGACTGCCATATGCAGGGAAAGGTCATGATTTCTACCTTTTTTTATTTTATTTTATTGTTATTATTTTTAAACAAAATTTCAATTCTTCTGAACATTATTTTGGTTCAGACTTGAGTCAAGGCAAATATTCAAACCACTGGTTAGATTACCAAGATTAAAAGAGGGAGTATGGATATGTTCTTTTAGTAATGTAAGTCGTAAATTTTAAGATAGCAGCCTTCTTACATAAAAATGTTATTGCATGTTTTCAACTTTTGAAGACAATAACTACAGTTTTGGTTGTGTGTGACATGTTTTTATGGGATGAGATTTAATCCGTACATATTTAATATACAGGTTTATTTAAACTGGGGTTGAAAAAAGTGGGCATTTATCAAACATGTTCTCATAATCAGAAGTTTCAACTGACTGGAAATTAGAACAAAATCAGCTTTTTTATGTAGCCTAAATAAATATGAATGTGCATTGTAGTTTTGTCTTACACCCTATCATGACCCTTGAATAGATGAAACCATCTCTAGCTTATAACAAAAGACATTGATCCTGTCATATGTTGTCATTGTGCCTAAGAAACTCCTTTTTTCCAAGGTTAGTTGCTTCATCACTACTATTCAACCTGTGCATATATCACCAGAAAATGTCTCTTTTTGTTGGAATGATACATTTGAACAGTAATGGATACAGTAGAGCAATAATGTACATTTTCTCATAACTCATAATTCACTATCACTGAGAATTAGTGTTAAAAGAGAACATTAACACATGTACAGCTGCTTCACATTAGCCACATCATTTCTTCTCAAATATGACAATGACAAAAAGAAATATTTTAAGATTAAAACTTGTTGCATTGAATACTTGAAAATGTGCTTCTTAGAAAAAAGAGAGGTTATAAATTTTTCACATTAAAAGTTGAAGTTATTAGTTAAAAGGTTTCACTATTATAATGTTGAGCCAACCTATATTTCAAACTCTACATTGGCATGTTTTTTGTGTGAAAAAAAAAACAATTATAAGTAATATGTCTGGCTATTTACTTGTGTTTCTGTGTCAGGACTCGGTTTGCAGGTTTCAAAAGTTTCTTTTTTGTTTTGACCAAAAGTGCAGCAACTAACTTGACTCAGAAACAGGAGAAGGATGTTTGAACTTCCTTTGTTATTCAAAAAAAGTTTGAGTAACCTTTATGTGGAATGTTTCATCCAAATTTAAACTGTTTATGATCTTAACACAGTGAAGTTCATTCATTCAGTGTTGAAATGTGGATTTCTATTTTAAAATACGAAGTGGCTGACTTCCAATTTTATTATTATTTTTTTTTTACAAATATGTCAAACAAAAATCCAATGAGGCCTTAATGGTATTCAGTTATACATATTGACCAGTGTAGCACATGGCTGCAGTCATACAGGGTAGTCTTATTACACCATTATAATTATGATGCAGCAAATTCCATTTTCCAATACTTGTAAACTGAATATGTTTTTTTTTAATCTTAATTCCAAAGTTAAAATGATAGTTTCTTCAAACAACTGTGAAATTTCAGGTTATTACCACTTTAATATCAGTGTCTTCCAAGACACTTTAACCAGGGAACAAGACTACAGGTGTTATAGTGGCCTCTACCTGAGAAGAAACTACAATTATTCTAACTTTACATAGCACAGCTGACAAAATTACTGCCTGGATTTATTTCCAAAGTATTTAGGGGTTGCCTTTATTGGTTAACTTCTGAAAATATCTAGTCATTTATCTTCAACTTTGACTGATGGCAGTGTCTGAATTCTCCACAATACTTCAAATGAAGGCCATACAGCAAATAGTGTGTGGCAATGAGACAATACAATACAAACTGACCAAGTTCACAACATCTAATAATTTCCAGCTTTAATTTATGTGGCAGTGTCAACATGAGAGTGGACACAATTCCAATATCCTGTCATTCTGCCTACACTGGTTTCCTCTCAAGGATAACCTAAAACGTCAATCTTCAGCTTTGATCTGTGGAGCGGAGTCAGAGTTCTCCACAATATCTTCAGACTGTACACATTTCCAGAGTCCATATGTTTTCCCCACTGTGGTCTGCCACAATCTTAGGGTGCCATCTTCACTGCCACTAGCATACAGCTCACCATCAGGACTGAACTGGACACAGTGGACTGGACCAAAGTGGCCTTTGAAAGATTCTACAACAGCAGAAGGCAGCAGATTTATTAAAATAATTGAGTTCAAAATTTTTTGGTGCAGTAAACATTCTATGTTAGAAGATCAATGCTTACCACTTTAAATCACGAAAAGTTTTAATTAAAAGTGTTCACATTTAAGTGACAATTACTGACTTAACATACGTGAAAAAAATCCGAAGAAACGCGAGCAATATATTAATTCAATGTGTTTATACATAAGTGACATCTACAGGTTGGACCAAAGTGCATACATCTGTAAGATGGACTGTATTACTGTCTCACCTATTTCCTGTCCAGTTTCATAGTCATATTTGTACATGATAAAGTTATCTCCACCACAGACAAACACAGCCTTGTCAGGGTGAAGAGAGGCAGAGTTGATTGGACCTGGATGCTCAAACTCCCTGATCTTTTCAAGTCTGAGAAAACAAACACAGATAAGCTTTTCAAAAGGAAAAAAACTGTAAAAGAAATAAATTTACTTGCAACCAATTTAATTTATTTTTTGTTGCAATTATCTAAAAATGGCACAATTGTCAGCATTTAACAGTAAAGACCTCAAATAGTACACATTCAACTGAATTTTTAAAGGCAATTATATAGCTATAAGAACCTACTTCTGAGCATCCCAAAAACTAGTGGTTTTGCCATAAGTGATCAGCAATATGGTACCATCCTTGGAAAGTTCTAGACTCGTTGGACTGTTAGGGAATTCCAGTTTCTTTGTCTCTGTCTGATTGGCAACCTCCCAAACTCTAAAACAGTCAGTATTAAGTGGTATATTGTATATAAAATCTCATTATATCATGCTTTACTTTATTGAAGTGTGGGATCTTGGACATGATAAAATTCACAAAAGAAGATGTTAACAGCTATCAAGTATTTAAGTGCTTTTTTCACAAATACTATGGCTTCTTTCAATGAGACATAATACACACCACAATACTTAAAAAGCCATTATATGTCGCTTTGTGATAGCAGTTACTTACCTAACTGTTTTATCATCTGATGCACTATATATTAATGTACTGTCAGTATTCCATATTGCACTCCGAATGTGAGATCCATGACCACTAAATACACTTGGTTCTATAGCAAAAATATGTAACACCTTTATGAGTTAAGTGGTATTTTTAATTAATTTATCAAGACAAAGAGCTACGTGAAATAAAAATTGAATGTGGCAATAAGTTTTATATGAGCAGCAGTTACATATCTGTATACAGGAACACAAAAATTTTGTGAAAAAAAGTATTTCAAAAAAGAAAGATTTTTAATAAAAAGAAAGCATTAGAAGTTTATGCAAATTCTTCAATCTATGATAAAATGTATACACAATTATTTCATTGAATTTCTGAACATAGAAGGTTTAGCTAGCATGCTGTTCAATTGTCATTTGAATGGCCTCTTCGAGCAGCAGATGACTTATCTTATGGCTGAACAAACTGTTGAAATTGCCTCCCCCCAACAATTAATTTTTATGACTTATATGCCCCTGCAGGTAAAAATATGAACAAAAACTTCTATAGCATCTATTCTTACCTGCATCTGGCCTTGCTAAATCAAAGATCCTCAGCAACTTTTCATTACTCCCTGTTAAAAGATGGCCTCCATCTTTAGAGAAGGCAACACTTTTCACAATATGTTTGTGGGAAAAGTTCTGGAGTTCATCGCCGGTTACTGCATCCCAGATTTTCCTATAAAAGCAATTACATATTTAGTTAAGGGTGCAAGCTTTCAATCAAACTATATACAGTAATCAATCCATCTTTTCAATGGGAAAAATTGTGAATTTTACAAATACAGTCATAATATCTTAAAATCAGAACATTGCCATTGAGTGGTTGCAACAAAATCAAAAAGCAAGCAACTCAATAGTTATATTCTATCCAGTATAAGCACCACAAATGCTGTATAGAAATATAATTTTGTGATTATAAAGTTATGTATCTCAAAGTTAGATAATTTTTACCGATGAAAAGATCAAGTAATTACTGTATGCATCACATTTTTTGTAAACTTCTTACTTTTTATTTTATGCATGCATCCATTCAAATACAAAAGTTATAAGCTTGAACAAACACTTCAAGGTTACCTTATATTAAAACCCAAGTTTCCAAAGTTGAAATGCCTCACTAAGGTACTAGTTTAATCTCATATTCAAGATAAGATAAAAAAAAAGAGTTGAAAACCAAGTAAAAGGAAAAAATGTTTTCAAAGTTTGATTAAAAGACCATTAGTAATAATTTTGTTTGATGCAACAAATACTATTCTCAAAAAACATATATACACACGCAGAGAAATCAGCTGCTCCAGTTGCAGCTTTGGTGGCATCTGTATTTAGAGTAGCTCCCCAGACAGCTCCTTTGTGACCTTCAAATGTTCCTACCCAGTCTCCTGTGTCTCCCTGGCGCAGCATTGGCTTCCCATCTAAAGGAAAATAAGTTTGCTTTTTAGGCTGGCTTATTTTAATTCTGTTCATTGTAACAGAAGAAATATATAAACCAATTCAGTATTAATGAATTCTCGTAACAAAACTTAAATTTAATGACTTTTAATAAAGTAAGTTTTATCACCTTATACCAATAAAATATAAATTTTCAAATACTCATACTCTAGTAAACCCAAGACTTTGCTATGGGGTGGGGGGGGGGGGTAGAAGGATTGAAATATAAAACAGCACAAGGGTGACACTTAACTTAAATATATAGGGAACATGAATGTATTTATGGAAAATTGCATTCACTTCTCTCGTTCTACCAGGGCCAGTTGGAAGGGAACAAAGGGGTGCCTCAGAAGCTAAGGAAAGAGCTGTGTCTTGCCCTGAATACACCATTGGATGAATTTTATTATTCCAAATCGCATCCATTTTTTTCTGATTGAAAACGTTCTACTTTTCTATCGAATCTGTGCTGTAGAATTAATAGTAATAAAATTAAAATAGAAGTGACATGCCGACGATCTGGACGATATGCAATTTGCACACGATTTTCAAATAACAAAATATAATAATTTCAGTGAATACTATACCTTTACAGGCACTAATGAGAAAATACCCATGGGGTGTGATTTCACTAAAGCCCAAGTCAACAACAGGTCTGGTATGACCACTGCAAGTCAGCGGTGTCTGGCGAACGGATGCCATATTTCTAAGATGCTTTGAAGATTACGGGTTACTGCAAGACAAGCTTCATTACACGTCAGCCTTCTGGAGAAATATGGGTTTTTATTGAAGTCGTATTATATTTTTTATTTCAAATATCCGAATTTTTTAGGTTTCTAGTATATTTAAGACGAAATTTACACAAATTACAGGAATATTGCATTAATAGTAATATCGGTGATGATTAGCTTTGTGAGCAACGCATGCGCAACATTGTGTGAATAATATACTTCCGTCTTCTGCATTGACGTACTGATACTTGAATATATATTACACATTAGTCACCAAAACACGGAATCACATGAGGCCGTCGTCAGATGTACAATACACAAAACCTGTAAGACATATCTAATTTTGGAAAGTGGGGGAACAGAAACAATATAGACAAAACAAAATGGACTTATTTAAGAAGAAACCAACTGTGCAAGGTAAGTTCAACTTCAAGTATTTCCTTGCTTTTTTACGTGTACAATGTACTTGTAGTTTTAACTTTTACATATATTCAGTAAACTCTGCCTTTCTAAACAACAATTTCACCGGTATTCTACTTTGTCATTAACAGTTAAATGCCATGAATGGATGTCTGTCTCACTTGTACAGTATATAGATTAATTAATTAATAGTCGGGACTACGCTCCACTCCTAAATGAACATTTTTGTCGGTCATTTTTGCGGCTGTTATCAGTTTATTTTAAGAAAAATGCCGTAAACAATGTAGTGATAGTTTTCAATTCCATGTGAATAGTAATTATAAATATGTTACAGAACAACTTAGACAGAATGACAGACAAATAAGAAGAACACAGAGAGATTTAGAAAGAGACCGAGGGCAGCTAGAAAAACAAGAAAAACAAATAGTAAGCATACACATGGTTTGTAATGACAACTACTATGCCACAGCCACCATAAAATCAATTCTACCAATGATTGACCTCATAAATGACAGTTGCGTATCTCGGTAATTTCCTCTCACTGACCCAACCTTGGCTGCATTGATTTTTAAATGAATCTGAAAACCATCTACATTTTGTAAAAGATTCCTATGATTGCAATACCACTATTGGTTTAGTATTTCTTAATTAATGATATTCCCATACATTAGATATTGTGTCTTATTTATTGTCTAGCATCCTAAGAGCAGGATGTCTAGTAATATTTAGTTTTACTTACAAATGTTTTTTTCTCAATTTGCGGTTGTAACTGAATATTGCATTTATACTTTTAATTATAAGAGTTAAAGACTTGCCTGTATAATTTAATATTTGTCATTACAGTGCCTGCTAATTGTTGTTCACTTTTAGGAAATAGAAATAAAGAAAGCAGCCAAAAGAGGAGATAAACAGACTGCAACAATTCTAGCAAAACAATTAGTCCAGTTGAGAAAACAAAAGACAAAGAGTTTTGCTGTAGGCTCTAGAATACAGGGAGTAGGACATCAGACAAAGGTAACAGAGCACCTATAAAGTACACTCTCAGACTTAGAGTCTTATTGTTTTTAACAAAGAATGTCACTGCATCCTGGATGGATGTTATTTTCTTTCACCTTGTATTGCACAAATATGAATTGCAATTACTTAAAATGTATTATTTTATTTCAGATGATGCATTCGAACATGAAAATGGCAAATGCAATGGGCTCAACAACAAAGGTATGTGTTTTAGTTTACCTTAGTTATTTATAATATAAGGATGTTATGTGTATTTTTTCCTATTTATGACTGGGAATATTAAAACAGGACAAGTGCAACTTACTGCAATTTCATTCCATTGAAAAGAAAAACAGTACAAGCCCTTGCAAATTTACCAAATTGATGGTTTCTTTCTTCTTGCAGGCCATGCAGTCCATGAATAAAGTGATGGACCCACAGAAAACTATGAAGACAATGCAGGACTTCACAAAAGAATCCATGAAGATGGATATGTCAGAAGAGATGAGTAAGTGGAAACTTTGTGGTTTGGCTTGCTTTCCCTTAAATTATATTCCACATTCAAGATGTAAACTTCTGATTTAGGCATATTTTTTGTTAACCGCGTTTGTGTTAGTGTGTGTGTGTTTGTTTGTGTTAGGTGTGGATAATTGACAGAAAATAGCTTGAAAAGTAAACCCTGTTCATACCTGTCTGATACCACACAGGTACAAGATATATATTTTCATAGAAAATTTCTTTTTAGATTGACAATTAATACTGTGTGTGTGATGTACTCAAGTTCTTATTTTGTTATTTCTTGTTTCAGTAAATGACACTTTAGATGAAATATTTGATGAATCTGGAGATGAAGAGGAACAAGATGCAATTGTTACACAAGTGCTGGATGAAATTGGAATTGAAATATCAGGAAAGGTAATGACTAAATCCTTTATGGTCTGCTGCAGATCACATCTTCATTACCAATGAATGTGTATAGAAACAAGATACATCAAAATTCATCCTAATAAATTTATGTTGAATGTACCCTGCAACTGATTCACCATTAAGCTTTTGTCAATATTATTCATTCAAGGAGGTTATAAAATTTTCACATCACAAAATTGCACAAAATTTCATATTAATGTCAGCGTTCATATTTAATGTTGATACATAAGTTACTAGTAGGTACATGTTCCTCAGACACTTTTTCTCTATTTACTTCTAGATGGCAGATGCTCCTTCTGCTCACAAAGGAAAATTGGGAGAGTCCTCAAAGGCAGATCAAGATATTGAAAGACAGCTTGCTGCTCTGAAAGATTTATAAAATGGACTTATGGTAAATGCACATTGCCAATTAAGACTGTCACTGTGTGTATCTCTAAAAGTTAAACCCCACCAAAGTCGTAAAGAACAGTGAATATTATACAGATATTTTCAGCTGATGAACATATTCATATTTAATGCTATGGTCAAGAAAGAAATTCCTATTTTTTCATGAAGAATTAGATATTGTAGAATCAACATACTGGGAAGTTAAATGATTATTTGGTGTGATGACAAATGCCTCTAAAATTGAAAAAGAAGGTATATTTCTGAGACCCATCTGTATGTTATCTGAAATCATTATTAAGACATTTGTGCTATGTAATTATACAGCACCACATTTCAGTTTGAGGAAATGGTTTTCCTTTGTAAATCATTGTCAATAGACGTAGCATTTTTCACCATGTAAATGGTCTGTTGTTTTTCCCAAGCAAGATAATACGCAGAACCCATTTAATACTGATTTGAATGATGAGGCATTGTTTTTAAATGTATGTGTGCAATGGTGCACAAGCAAAAATTAAAATGAGATGTAGTGTTCAATTACCATTGTGTACAATTATGAATTTTAATATTTAATGTACATATTATATATATATCAGTAATGTGGATTAAATTGGAATAAATTAAGTTTTAAATGAAAATTTTTAATGAAAATGTTTTTAGAGAAATGTTTGTATCTCATGTTTTGACAGCAGGGTGAACCTGAATTTGATATTTGAAACTATTTCACATTTAAATATGTTGAAAGATCAATTTATTCAGAATTCAAGTCTAATAGTCTGTCAACTTTTATGAAACACACACAGACACAAAGAAATACGCTTACTTTTAGTTTGCTACACTCAAATTGTGTATAATTTGGACTGACATATCTTATCAGATTTGAAGCCATTACACATTTTTTCAACACAATTATCTTCACATTAACTCCTTTACTATTGCACAAGATTAGTGTTTTAGTCATTCACAAAATAATTTCTCTTGAAGCAGCAAGTTCCAACTGATATTTAACTAGCAGTTCATACTCTGGTAAAACCAGATAAAGCTTTTCTGACAGCCCTTCTGGTTTTAATTTCTTTTTGTACTACTCAAACATTGCCTTTTCATACAGCAGTAATGCTTTTTTAAAAAGCAACGGAGATCATCCCATGCTCATACTTCAGAAGTTATTTTTCTAATGGTTGAAATAACAGCTTTTTTACAACCAAGCACATATGGTTTCATGTACTTCTTACTATCAACAGACTGGTCATGATCTGCAAAGAATTTATCTGCCTTTGTCATCATGTTACCCATTGCTTCTTTAGACAACAAAGTTCTGTCAATGTTGACATCCATGCTTGTAGAACTACCAGAGGAGATGTCTTTGGATGTGACATGCAAGAGACCTTCTTCATCAATATGAAATGTCACTTCAACTCTTGGTACTCCACGAGGTGCTGGACGAATCCCAGTCAACTCAAATGTTGCTAAGAGGTGGTTGTCCTTTGCCATGGCCTCCTCTCCCTCGTACACATGGATACAAGCATCAGGCTGGTTGTCATAATCTGTGGTGAAGATCTGGGTGACAGTGATGGGGTAGATGCTGTCACGCTGGATTAGCTTGGTCATTTTTCTACCAGTGGTTTCAATACCAAGTGATAAAGGCACCAGGTCAATTGTCACTGGTGTCAAGTCCTTAGTGGTGTCATCTTTGACACCAGTTAGCAGAGCTGCCTGTAAGGAGGCTCCGTGTGCTACCACCTCATCTGGACTGATGGATTTCTTAAGCTCTTTTCCACCCATGAAATTCTGTAGTACTTGCTGAATCTTTGGGTTGTGAGTGGCGCCTCCAACCAGAATGATATCATGTATGTCACACTTGTCAAGCCTGCAGTCTTTTAAAGCTCTTTCTACTGGTTTTAAAATATCAAAGAAAAGATCAATGCAGATTTCTTCAAATTTAGATCTTGTTATCATGGTGAAGTAGTCGATTCCCTCAAAGAGATTCTCAACCTCAACGTTTGCCTGTATATTGTTTGACAGGACTCGCTTGGCATGTTCACATGCTATTCGCAAGCGGTGAATGGAATGTTTGTCTTTGCTGATGTTCTTCTGATACCTACGCTTAAATTCTTTCACAAAATAATTCACCATTCTATTGTCAAACTCTTCCCCTCCAAGATGTGCATCAACTGACTTGGTGAGAATTTTATAAATTCCTTTCTCGGATGATAAAACAGAAACCTGTAATGAGTTACCACCTAGATCAAAAACAAGGACATTTTTTATGTCAGGGTCGTGCAGTTTATCAGGTAAGCCATAGGCTAAGACTGCAGCAGTGGGTTCAGTGATAATACGTAAGACATTGAGCCCAGCTATAACCGCAGCGTCTAAAGTGGCTTGCCTCTGGACCTCGCTAAAGTCGACAGGGACCGTGATCACGGCGTCCGTTACCGCCTGTCCCAAGTATGCCTCCGCAGACTCCTTCAACTTAGCCAATACCATTGCACTGATTTCCTCTGGGGCAAAGGTCTGTCGTTCCCCCTTATATTTCGCATGAATCGTTGGTTTCCCACCGTCGTTGCTCACGCTGAAAGGCCACCGATCAATGAGATGGGTAACGTCGTTGAAACTGCGACCGATCAATTTCTTTGCGTCACACACCGTGTTGCTGGAATTTATGATAGCCTGTTCCTTAGCAGAATCGCCTACTAATCGCCCGCTGTCTGTAAAAGTGACATAGCTTGCCGTCGTCCTGTTCCCGAAATCGTTAGGAACAATTTCTACTCTTCCATGCCGGTGCACACCCACACAGGAAAAGTTTGTGCCTAAATCAATGCCGAGTGCCAAGCGACCAGGTTTTGACATGGTTGCTTTTTCCTACCACTAGCTGAGTTATGGTGAACTAGGTAATTCTCTCTAAATCTATGTGATTGCTAAATACCGTGCCCCGTGTCTGCTAGTCTACATGTTTTGCGTGAAATCCTTCCCGGAAGTTTACATGGTAACTGGGTTCATGCGCAGACTATTTATTGCGCAGCTTCTCTGATGCAACTGACAATCGGTACGAAGTGTTCAGAATGCTGAGCTCATGCAAAGCCAATTTCTAAATATGTTGTTAATGTTATGTTATGTTATCCTTAAATCTTGAAATTAAATGCAAGGTCCCATAGAATACAAAAACGTTGAAATGATTTTAAAAGACCTTAAAACACGACGGCAACTGGTTATTTCTAGCACGAGGGTCTAAGATGTTTGCACAGTCTGTCCAGGGAATTAAGAGTTCAGAGGGATGTTATTTATTAATATGCAAAGGAGTTGTTTTTAAATTGGTTCCTGATAATTCACTGCGATCGGTCACATTTCAAAGCGCAAATAGCTAGGCCTACCCCGATAAAACTTCCTGTGGCTTTCCCTTGCGTCTGATCTTTTAAGATCTTTTATTAAAATAGGCCTAGGCCTATAGGCTATATATCACACTTCAATAAAAAATAAAAATAAATTGAAAAAAAAAAAAAAAACTGGGGGTGATTCTTCAAATAAAGTGATTTACACATCCGGGTTGGGGGGGGGGGGTTTAATGTAAACCAATAAAATCCATTGATGTAGCCTACTAATAAATAGTGTTAGAAATTAAGGCTGGACCGTCTGCCCGGGGCTGACAACTTTCAGAACGGGCTGAGAAGTTTTCCCACCTGGCAGACCTTCAGTCCAGCTACTTTTCAAGATGGCTGGACTTTCGGTCCAGCAACTTATTTTCCTAAGAGGCAAACACTAAATGTAGGCCTACATGTACAGTGACGGATTTAGAGGGGGGTCAGGGGGGTCCTGACGACCCCCTTCGGTTTCTGAAAAAAAATCACACTCTCGGAATTAGAATTCGGCTTTGCATATGCGGATCCCCCCCTTCAAATAATCCTAGATCCCCCACGTAAGCATGTAATGTTTAAAAAGATGATTATCAGTCACCGAAGTTGGAAATAACAAGTTTTACTTCAAAATATGCCTGTATACTTTCTTTCGAGGATGTATACCCATGTATAGCACACCTTCCCGGGACTACCCTCTCCCTGGGCCACCGCGGGATTTCTTAATATATCACTGTATATGTATTAATAACTATTATGTACAGTCCTTTCGAACCCAAGGACTCATTCGAGAGCGTAGAAGTCCTTTCGAACCCAAGGACTCATTCCAGAACGTATGTCAGGTATCGTTTTGAATGAAAATTTTACTGGATGGATCTAAATTAAACAACAGTTTTAGTCACATACTCACTGTGATTAAAGATATTTTTCTTTAACAAGACACAAAGCTAAACTACAAGGACAAATCAACTTTCTTGGTTCAAAATACCATTTACTGTTAATAAACAAACAAACAAAAAAGAAAAAAGCACAATTCAACCATCAAATGTGGCCATAAATAAATAAATAATTAACTGGAATGTCTCAAATGAAAAATCTAGCATGATATCGATTTCGCAATACACTGACTTAATTCAACAGACTTGGATTTAATATCAACAATTTACAACCAAGCCAAAATAGCTGTAGTTAGTATTCAGAACAATCTCCTGTTTCAGATAATATAATCACCATTCACGGACAATCGTTCTACTACAGCTACTATTCAGAAATCACAATAAGTTAAAATGCAAATATTGATGCCGTGAGACATAATTACAAATTGAGCAAGTTCAGCTTCATCCGTGCCTTACCTCATATGCATATGTACATAATTTTGTCAGTGGCCGGTTTATAAATAAGGTTTACAATTAACATGGAATGTATGGTTTCACATCAAGCGGATCATTTTCAACTATGAATTGAATTATACTGTACAAATTAGGCCACTTTGAAATTGAATATACAGGCAGATAAAACTTTAGCGCTGCAGAAACAATGCCCAGCTAAAGCTATGACCAGTGACATACAGTAAATGCTCCATAAAATCACAAATAAACTAGACCTGATTTTCTCTTAGAACACTGCATATAAAACAATTCCAAGCGAAGTCTGTGGAATAAAGCATGACACGATTCAAATATTCAAGGTGTATGTGACTTTCGTTGTTGGGCTCTGCGCTGGAGACGCTTGTTGCCTCTGAAACTCTCTCTCTTTCCTTGGCGTCACAGTGTCACCGGACGGGCTGAAGGCCTTGAACTCTATCCCAGAATCACTCCCAGTGGATCGTCTCGTTTCCATGTCATCACAGTACGTATCTGAAGATGCGCAGTTAATTTCCACCCCCGAATCCGACCTCAGCAGCCTCCCTTCGGCCCCCATCCTCGTTCTGACGGGGGTCGGAATCCGTGTAGGAGGTCCCCCCTCGATCATCTCGCCTGGGTTTCGCTATACTAAAACAGTAACTGGCCATCCTTGGACTTAAGGAGAAGTTTGTTAAATCACCCACAGAAGCGTTCCGTTTGGAGAGGAATTCTTTTTCTTTGGAATCTAATAGTTCGTTTCTCTGAGTTGCATATCTTTCATCACTAGCTTCTAAAGCAGAGAGTTCATTACAAGAACTCGAGTGGGTCATCCCTGCGCCCCCATTTCGAGATTGAGCCCTTTCCTCGACGCGGTAGGTTCGAAACAGGGCTTCCATTTCTTCGTAGTCTTTTTCTAATTGTCTTTGAGCCTCGTCTACTATCTCATCGTGCTCTGATGGGTCAGTAATCGACTGGCTTCTTCTATGGGACCTTCTGCTGTTTTGTGAATTAAATGTCGAACACGCAAGTTTTATTTCTTGGGAACGTGTTAATGGCTTGCCAAAATTGTACGTGCTCAAACTGTTTCGACCCGCAGTCTTCCGAGTAGAATTTTTTCCATCGTAACTCCCAAAGTTATTTTCAGCTACATTTTCCCTGCTGGAGCTCCTGCTACGCGGCGATTTGACGGTGCCTGAAGCGGAAAACGATGACTTGTTACTCTGGGATGCTAAATCTTTCAGATCTTTCTCAACAGAGTTCCCTCGTCGAAGATTTGGCGTTCTTCTTCCGGAGACTGGCGTTTTATCTGTGCTTCTTGAACTCAATGGCCCTGATTCACTGGTTCTAGGAGAGGCTTGGTTTACTTTAGTAGCGTTTGCCATGATCTCTGTCAGTTCGTTTTCAGAATTTTCTCTACTAAATGTTGGAGTTTTTCTTCCGCTTTCTGGTCGTTTCACAAATCCCATAGGCCCCTGCAGACTGCCCCTGGGTGTAACCGGTTGTTTTCCCTGTCTTTGTGCGGGTTCAGGGGTGCTAGGTCGAGAGCGACGTTGGTATATCGTCCCCGGTTCACTGGTGCTAGGAGAGGTAACTGGTTTTGCTTGTGATTGCGTGTCTTCTTGATCCAAGGAATTTTGTCTTACCATTGGAGTTGGTGTGCGTGATCGTACATGTGATTGTCCAACATTGCTACTTCCGTCTTTATGGCCCATGGATACTGGAGTTTGGCGACCTGACCGATATGTTGACGCGTTTCCCATTCCAGAAGCAGACCCACGTCTAGGTGTTGTTTTATTTTCCTGCTTGTCTGGAATGTCTCTTTTTATTTCGTGGCAGCCGCTTTGATTTCGCGTAATGTAAAGTTCTGCCTGGCCACTTTCGTCCCTGGGCGAGCGCGCCAACGCCTTAACTGGTTGCGGCGTGGACGGGCGGATTCTAGATGGCGGTCTTTCCTCTCTGCTGGTTGCTGCTTTTTGTTTTTCCAGTAAGTTGCTGCTGCTTATACTACGCTTAATGTCCGAACTTTTCTTCGATGATTGTTCTTCAGATTCCGTTGCAGATTTTCTTGATAAATTATGTCTTCCTGAGGAGTTCCTTGATATGATGAGTCTTTCCTCTTCGTTGGGCCGTGGGGAGTATCTTATCCTGCTTGAGCTGAAAGTGGGCGTGGAGGGTCGCATGCGTTCCACTGTGGCGGCTGAGCGAGATCTCTGGCGAGAAGCTTCTTCTCGAGATGGAGACCGCCGTGTGTTGGGTTCAGAAGGCGCGAGGGACATCGACCTTGGCGAAGGACCAGACCCAAGTCTTCTGTGGGGCCTCAAATCCTCCGTAGACTCCGGTCTAGACAGATTTGCCGAATCGGAGCGCCGTCTAGTTTGTTGTTGTTGTCCGATTTTGTCAGACGACATTGATTTTGGAAAGTTTCTGCCTTTTGAATCTTGAGGCTTGTTTTTACCCGATAAACCGGACAGCAAATTTTCGGTGCTACGATACTTCCTATCTTGTGCGCGTAGTGTAGTTTGACTAGAACGTAGAGTTGGTGTTTGTGGACGGTTGGTTGTGGCAGACGACCGCCTGGTTGTAGAACTGAAAATGATAAAACACAATAACTTGGATTTTGTAACTTAGATGATATTTCACAGACTTCCTTACAAAGATCTCTTCTAACCTCTGCAATATCAATTGATCTGTACGGACAATGTGTGAACAACGAGGAAAATAACATTTTTTCGATAGGTGAAGCACCGTGCTTGTGAAAAGGGACTAGTTGAACCTTGGCGGTCATTTTAGTAAGGCACTGTCTTATCTTGCAATTACAAGGATGAGCCTTATTTTTTAGACAACATGACTTATCTTTTAAGATATTTAAAAATATCCCTTTGCCCGTCTGAATCACCTCTATAACAGACTACGTTAAAAACGTTATTTCACCAAGGGTTCACCTTATGTATAGACGATAATGTAAATTAGACCACTTTATTGATTACCTTTGGTTTTGATTTACAGTTGTGGCAGACGGGCCGCCATTCGAGAGGCGAGGCTGATACACGGAAAGCTGTGGCCCCGGAACGGGCGAAGAGCTGCGACGCTTAGGCGGTAATGGCTGAGGCGGTATGCGGTGGCCTAAAGTACAAATAACATTTGTATAGCAATATGGCTAAACTATGCACAGTGAAATATCTTTATATCAAATTTTAAGGCAGTTGACTATACATATTCTGTGGGCAGGAATGCACACAACAGGAAAATGTGAGAAATAAGCATTACTTTAATGAATGAAATGAAAAATGTTGTGCATGGTAAAATCGTTTGCTTTTCGGACAAAACCAACACAGACNTGTGGCAGACGGGCCGCCATTCGAGAGGCGAGGCTGATACACGGAAAGCTGTGGCCCCGGAACGGGCGAAGAGCTGCGACGCTTGGGCGGTAATGGCTGAGGCGGTATGCGGTGGCCTAAAGTACAAATAACATTTGTATAGCAATATGGCTAAACTATGCACAGTGAAATATCTTTATATCAAATTTTAAGGCAGTTGACTAAACATATTCTGTGGGCAGGAATGCACACAACAGGAAAATGTGAGAAATAAGCATTACTTTAATGAATGAAATGAAAAATGTTGTGCATGGTAAAATCGTTGCTTTTCGGACAAAACCAACACAGATATATATCCATCTTTAAAAGTAACTGATGTGTCTGCCTGTGTTAGTTCCTGTCTCGATCTATCAAGTCGGAATGATGTCTTACCTAGAGATTTGCACCTGCAGGGGTCATGCTTATCCAGGTAGTGCTGTAGAGTATCCCAGCCACCGCCAACACGAACCATGACGTGGTTACGGAGAATCTGTGGAAGAACAGTTTACATGTATAACTACATGTAGCAGATAACACGGTACAGTGTTTATTTCTGTGTTTACGTGAAATGTTTATTGCCTGACACCGTCGTCAATGTAAGCAGCTCAAAACCCGATGAAAGTTTTAGACTGAGCCGACGTGGCTAAGAAGCAGATCATTTCAAACCTTTTGTAAAGGATCGGATTAAATGGTTTGAAAAAAATAATATTCCAATTACATGTATTGTATTGACAGAATCACTTAGTAACGAAGAGTATGGCAATTAAACCATGTTTTTTTATCTACCGGTGTAAATAGTATCACGCTTGTCAATGTCATGGTTAGAACTAAGCCCTTCCACGTGTCGCCACCAATTTAAAGAGTAAGCTGTTCCCTTAGTGCACCTATATCAAGAACATAACGTTAAATGTTGCTGTACTTACCCTAACAAAAATGAGTGTTTTTGAGTTCCCTACTCTGTATTTTCCCTCAGACACACGGACCATAGGAAATTGAGACGGACAGGAGCAGACGCTAAGAGCAGCGCTCACCTTAAAGAAAATAAAAAAAAACTGTATTAATAAAAGTTTTTTGATCTATTTTGAACAAGTCAATGTGTTTTTAACTATTTGATTCCATAATTTAAATTCTATAACTACTTGATTTTTTACACATTACTCAATTAATATTGAGAAATGTAAACAGTTAATATGACCTATTTAGCCTAACCCAATAAAACGACAAATTTATTACTTAAGTTAAAATCAAATCATATACATGAAATCAAATTTATCGTCACATTTGTGTTATTGATATTAAGGTATTTTGGATCTTTGTGTGAAGGTATTCAATTCGGCAAGTTGCACCTGTGCAATTCCCTTTTGTAAATCTATATACAGCATGTGCCCATAAAATCTATAAAAAGCTTGAGCTTATTTTAGAATCTGGGAATCTCGCCAATCCCACATGAGACCTCTTTATCAAGTAATCTTCGTTTCTTTTCACTTATCTGAGCCTATAGGTTTAAGTTAATGGGCGTGTTACAATACCAGCCTCTAGAACTACTCGAATATTGTTACTGTATTGTTTATTTGGCAAACGTAATTATTGGGTCACCAATTTAAAGTATCATATTTTCAGGGGGTCTTATCTCGTCTTGACACACGGCCTCTAGCGGTACAATGCTTCCTTTCTGAGTCTGTATTTGCCCAGTGGCAGTTGATATCGCACAGCTATTGACCGTTAATCAGTGCCCCAATATTTGAGCAGAAGTCTTTATGCCGTAGAAGTTAATGCGGTACACTATCAAAGTTTACCGATAGAAAATGATAGGACAACAACTGTTTACCAAGAAGCTTTCTTTTCATAAATATGGCAAGTTTGTATCCTTCTGAGGCTGTCATGTTTCACATGGATATGACGATGTAAACAATTAACAGCAACATGAAACAAGGAAGTGAACTTGTAAAAAGGAAAGTTAATATCATGTCACTTTGTGGTCCTAGTAAACCACAAGATTTCACTTACAAAATACACACATATTGGCAAGCCATTTAGAGAAATGACAAATTACTTTACATAAACTCACTTAATTGCGCCAGTGAACGCCTGAAACTGTTTCAGTTTTGCTAATGTTGCAAACTGGGTTGACGCCTAAACTAAGTCCACTGGCATTCACGTGTGTACTTGTCACAGATTGGAATAACTTGTATTTTTGACCCACACATATGCGGACTCTGGGGAGGAAAAGGACCTTCGACCATTTTTTTAAAGCAGCTGCACGCAATGAACGTCACAGCTGTCTGTGATTACTTTTAACAACGTTCGCATGGACGCAATCAACATTAACTTCTGTTACCACGGCAGCGTTCAATATTTATTCACTTTGTATTTTAGACTTCATCCTCACCCTCACCCTTCCCAACATCATCACCGTCACTACCTAATACGTGCACCAAATTCCCTGTCATGACCCTTTGTGTGTGTGAGACCGTCAGCAGGTGTTTGTGAATCGTGGTTCACACCTGTCCTTTCTCCTGATCTAAGTCGTGTTCTCATGTATTAGTTTTTTATTCTGTTTTATTTTATTTAGTTATTTATTCTGCGATTTTTCCGGCTATACCCATGTTGATACCAATAAATCGAATTTTAAGCATCAGGCGCTTTGCCTTTCCCTGCTTTTTATTACAGAGCAACTTCCATCAAAAGATAAGAATGCCAAGCTATATGATTCCAAGAAGTGTTTTTGATGAACATTTTTTATCGGTTGAGTAATATTTCAATGGCTGTCAATTCTATATTTGGCTGAGGTTAAATTATCTGACCAACTCTCTATTTCTGTTTCTCTCTATGACTTAGTTATTGACCAAAGGGTTATATAAAATGTACAACTCCTACTCACCATATCGTCCAATGACATATGATCATTGTAAATTATCTGCCTGAAGGGTTCTGGCTCTTCACCTGCTATCTCCATCTCTATCTCCTCCTCCATCTGGACCAAGATGGGGGCCAGCATACCAAACTTTGCCCCCTTACGAGCCACCTCCAGGAGACACAGTATCACGCTCTTCTCGTTTTTTCTCAGTACGAGATCGTCCGTCTCAAACAGCAGTACGTCCATGATGCCCAGGCCCCGACACCAGGCGATGAAGTTAGAGATATTATCACGGGCTTGGAATGACTTTGGTTTCACATTTTCTCGGTACTGGACCTCCCCGCGTGGAAACTTCACGTTGGCAAAGTTCGGAGATCCGGGGTGCTGTTTCTCGTATTCCTTGGCGTACTGCTGCACGTTGTTTGCATGTTTACACAGAAGAACACCAGTGTCCAAAACTTCGAAGAAATTATCCACCAGAATTTCTAAACCTTCGTAGAGGGTTTTAAACCACTCTGCCAAATCCTCTTTCATGGCATATAAATACTCATCTTTGGTTTTGAAGGGCCTGAAGGCGCGAGGTTCTAACTTTACAATCTCATCGGAATCTATTTCCATGGAACCACTTCGTTCGTGAGCCATGACTTATGGTTTCCTATGTCTCATTGCTTGCTGACATACATGGTGTTTGATTAGAGCATGTTTCCTAAGGTTATCACACGCGCGTTTTAAGTGGGACGCAATGAGGCCAGTTAAGCGGTCACGATATCGTCATGATATGTAGACTGCTACGTGCTTGTTCCCAGCAGTTTAAATATACTTAACTGAGCACGGCGTCTCTTAAAAAACTGAAAAATGTTTCGACAGTAAGGCCCCGTTATAACTTCAAATGCAGCAACCAGCTGTTTGTCTCGCTTGCATAAAAGTCGCTAATTGTTTGTGAAACTCCAAAGTTCTTTGCATGTGGACCGAGGGGTTTTATTTGTCAAAGTGCAGCAACGAATCCTGAAAAAGCGAAAAATAATTGTTCAAAAATTTAATGGCATTTGCGATAAATGACGTCATTAATTTCAGGTGACTGATTGGGAATATAAATAAGGGTCCGGTAGTAGAGTAATAAAACAAGTAAAACTAGCATTAACATTCGTTGTCTTTACTTAGTGTGTGCATTAATTAAAATAAGCGCAATTAAAACAAACTGTGGCTAAATATTTAACATGTCTACAGCAAACTATTTGACCCTTTTAGTAACAAAGTTGAAAGCATTATAAAAGGTGACAGTTTTAACGTGGCAACGTACAAAATCGGTATCTACAAGCGGGATTGTCGTTTTGACTACTAGTATCGTTGTCAAAACTTAGCCACATGAAAACCAGGACCCAGATGGGTCCTAGAAAAAAAAAATAAGAACGTCGAATGTTGTTCTGATAATTATTTTGTACACTTGAATTACTCACAGCTGATCTACAATCTTATTGGGACAACTAACCAGTAGATTTCCAGTACTCGGCTGACTACTGTCTCAGAATATATTGTGGCGCACAATTTTAGCGGCGATGTTTCAGACCGCAATCGAGGCACTTACAGTACATTTTACATCCGCCTCTGTCATTCAGTTTTACGGTCAAGTATATCTCAGCTGATGTTAACTTTATCTTGCGGAACCATATATTCCTTAATATGTATTATTAGAGGATTCGTACAGATTCAGCAGTACAATTTGTGCTTTTCGTATTGCCGCCGTGGTTATAATAGAGATAATGATACACATTTGTATACTTACACCTGGCGACTATATGATTTTGAACCTTATGCTTATGCTTTTTTTCTGTCACTTTGGCAAGCTGCCACCAGTGAACATTTCATTGTGTTTTTCAATTTATTAATAGGATTTGCAGACGAATACGACAGTATTCTCGAGATTTCTTTTGCTTCTTTTTTTAATTTTGTAAAGCAAATGTCTGAAAATTTGTTAACCTATCAGATGCATCAGTTCTAGCCAATATCGACCTGCGTGAGCTATCAGTACCTACCATTATAAAGATCTCTATTCAATACACATATATATAGAAATTTTAGACCAGCCCTCCTCAGGGGATAGAGTCCTCTGAAAATGGCACCTGACACGGCTAATAGGAATTTAATCAAATTTCCAATCACACGCTTGGCCCTACTACTATATTATGCTATACCCTAAGCTTGTCGTCGCCGTGTAATGCGATGTAACATGGCGTTAAGTGGGTGTAGTTGTCAGGTTACGCTGTCTTGTCATTTGTTATCGTCTCTGTGCATAATGCAAGGTCCACTTCACACTGATAGATGACAGTGCACTGGTAGTGAGGAATGACAAACACGTCAACGCCTCCAATTATAAACTAGTGCTTTGTAGCCCCTAGTCCCCCTTCTCTCTCTCTCTCTCTCTCTCTCTCTCTCTCTCTGTGTGTGTGTGTGTGTGTGTGTGTGTGTGCGTATGTGTCTGTGTGTGATGTGTGTGTGTGTGTGTGTGTGTGTGTGTGTGTGTGTGTGACTGTGTGTGTGTTTCACTGTGTGCGTGTGTGTGAGAGAGAGGCAGAGAAAAGGGAAAGGATCATGACATATGTTGAACTGACTTAGTATAGATGGTGATGGTGAGGTGAGGTCATCAACAGTCAACTTTTATTTGTCACAATCGGTAGAAAAGTTCTATATTTGTCCTATATTGCTCGTACAAAACTCACAAATTATTATAATCAAATCGGTAAATGTCAGTATATATTCCGAATATAACAATGAAGGGTGTGGTTGCTGCCCTGGGGCGGCCGTTAATCATGATATTCGGCACCCCATCCTTTCTAATCAGGTGTCGGTCCAGTTTCCTGCACACTAAATTGAAAAATTAAAGTGCACGGGCAATTAAAGGTCCTTACGTGTGTAAGAATTCAAAATGATTTTGTTATTTAAAAGCATAAACGTAAACACTGAAATATAAGGACAAGAGGAAAACTATACTGATGATCAAAGTTGTTGGGGGGGGGCATATTTTAGTCAAATAGAAAATTAATTCCTTTACCTTGAATCAAACTAATACTAGTACCCATTCCGTACAAAAAAATATTGCTGAACTACTTAAGCTGGATAAGTCATAATGGGAGACGGTAGTAGTACTCAACTTTCTCTTAAAATTTCAACTGGTGATGAAAAAAAAGATAAATTATTAAATACGCGTGTAAAAGGAGATGGCACTGACAAGGCGGTTGGTCAGTCATTTGAAGGGTGTTTATGATTGTGGGGTATATAGTAAATACTCAGACCGTGGAGGCCATGTGAAGAGAGAGATATTATCCTAAAATTGCTGCTAGCGTTGCTAAAAGTCGCTTTTTGTATTGTCCGTGCTGAGCGGGAAGAGAAAATGATCATGTTCAACAGGAAAAGAATGACATTTAAGTCCGTTGAGTGTCATCCAATTGAGGATGTGCGACTTTGAAAAAAAAAAAGATATTCAAGCCACTTTGGCCTGGTAGTGAAATTTGATTATATATTTAAACATAAACTGTGTAAAAATCGCTTTCAAATAACCACATCTTATAAATTATAATTCAACTCAAACAAGAAAGTCGTAATTCATCTCTGAAACGCGAACTATTACAAACGTGTAGCTTAAAGTGGTTCCGACGAACAACATAAATCTCGTTACACTGGCATCTTTACCGGAGCACTCTTCATCATGAGCAACCTTACGTACGAGAATATTGCTCCTACGACCATTATTCAAACAGCGCCTGGTAGATTCCTTGCTTTTTATACGATCTACGGGATATAACCTTACCATGTAGCACAGTCTGACTAATTCATCCTATATAGTGTATCCTATCTGGACAATCTTTTTTCTTGAATCCTCTCCATGTGATCACCTAAATATTCCGGGTCTACAGGTTAATCCTGAGCGATGTTACATTGTGTATAATTCCAATATGGCCATGTCTACTGACAGATAAGTCACAAGTGTCACGTAGAAAATTTAATCCGGGCAAGATCTGTTGACACGGGTTAAACAGTCTGATGATATCGTCCCTACTTCACAGTGGCAGTTCGTACACCTATCTCTGCCGCCCCAAATTGTACTCCGTCAATACACTCACCTCAGGGCCGGTTGTTAGGTTATGTTCAACCCGGGGACGCTGACAACCGTCTTAGTCGAGCTAGATACGCCTCAAATCAAGGGAGAGATCTAAGAGTTAAGTCAAACACAAGCGTCTTGAATCCACACAAAATCGCTTCAAACTCGTAAACTAGTTTCGGATGCACGTCAAACTCGGAGATTAAGTTGTCATTTAGCAGTTTCATAAATAACGACTTGTCACTGCTCAATTGATACTGTTGATTCTTCCCAGTAGACAAAAGTAAGATCCCTTACGAGCGTGTCGCGTGTTTTCGGACATACCTTTTTGCGCTTTCAACGCCACTACGAACATTAAGGGCGCCGAGCCAGGTTGACAAAAGTTTTAATCGCCCTTAAAACCTAATAAAGTTAATTAACACTACTCGTGAAGATATACCCCAGCGTGTCATTTCTAGGCGTATCACCTGCCAAATCTGGATTTCATCCAACTATCTACGAGTGTCCTAACTCATTATGACACTAGATAAATGATCTGACATGAGGCTCATTTCCTCATTATCATTTTCGTCACATAACAGCGGACGTTAGTTACGGTTTAAAAGCGTTGGGGACATTTGCCGCCAATATACCCTAAGGGAGCCGGGATAGTATTTTATACTTGATGAAGCACAGGTTTATGGTGCCCCATTCAAGTCAATACGGTATAATAATAATAATAATAATAATAATAATAATAATAATAATAATAATAATAATAATAATAAATCAATAAAAAAGAAATGAAATGGACTTCGGGATATAAAAAAACACGACGGCGTTAACTTATGGTCAGTTCACATCAGAGAAGATCTAGTTTTACTCACAGCGTGTCCAGAACATCTCCTGACCACCACCACTGGGGTATCCACTTACTTAATAAGACCACGTCAAAGACAGCAGTGTACCCCAGGTTGCTGGTTGCGATGGACACAAGTTTAGACATTCCCGTCCGAGTCAATTTTTTTCTGCCCAATTCATACGTTTCTCTATGTACAATGTGCCGTATATGCATCTGTAATCGGTTCAGTATCTAGCCACTGACCCCATGACTCAATGACGCTTTCTGCAACTGTATGCAACTTCACGTCTGGGGTTAATAGCATGTTGCCATTAATATAAAGGCAAGGCAAGTCCTTCTCTAGTAACTAACAAACAGAGGCATTTTCATTTCAAACCTTTCATGGGTATTTTCGGTACAATCTCATTTCTCATTGTGAAGTGTAAAAGGAGCTATGTCCTTATGCTATACTAAGCTTCATTTTCGTTTAATCACGTTTAAGCTTCAATTCAACAGTGTAACATTCCTTGCTACGCTATGCAAGCACTGCATTGAGCTTTACATGTACCCTCATTATATCTCCAACCTATGGATGGCGAAAAAATCGATGCAAGCTGGAGATGTCTGCACACAATACATTATGAACGAGAGGAACGACTTCATATGACTGTATCACTGTTTAAAATAACACAGTAAGTGCGTTTGTATATTACACAGAAATGAAGAAAAGGCTTGAAATGAGCCTGTGTGAGAAATATGAGCATTTCAAAACGGGTAAACTAATACTATACTCTACACCAACCTTTCCGACGAACCAAGAAGCAATTGGCTGTCAAAATCACGCTTTACTTACCCTGTTACGACCTAATCCGTAATATGTATTCAGTGTCAACCAGTATTCTATATTGGACCAGACACGAAGTCAACAAAATCCTTTGTCGATCATCTTGTTTAGGGACATGAAAACGTGGGTAAATAAGCACGAATTGAGAGGAACACTCACCTTCTACAGAGAACAATTCCGTCCTCCATCTTTCAGCCCAAGCTCCATTCTGTTAGCGCAACTCGCTTAACGTGTTGCATGTTATGCTTAACTGGGCAGGAAACGCCAGGCTAAGCCCCCCTTTAATTCATTTTAATCAATCGCTGAGCTCTATCGATTTAAAGGCATTGAATGAGACCAAAACATTTAGCTCAAATGAATTTATTTATATGTAGCACGAAAGCTCTCTATTGCAGCACTCCTTTATGAGTAAGCACTCACGGAATTGAATGTTTTGAATAAAAGAACAAATCTGCGTGAAGATGTCTTTCAAATGTAACAACACATGTTTGCGAAACAATATTTTCACAGTTGAATATCGATCCCAATCAATGTTTGACTACAGGTGTACGGTAGAAGTTCTCTGACAGTTTTCAAAGACGCCGTGTAAAAGTTAAGACGGCAAATGCCCTTTAAGTATGGAATACCGTAAACATCCTATTTTCAAGGAAGGTTACGTTCACTTATGCAACTATGAGTTAAATTCAAGGCTTTGCAAAACGGGTTTAATGTATTAGCATCGGACTTCAGGTATTTAAATTAAACTACGAAAATCTTAACTTTTCGCTGAAGCACAGCTCATAATGGACCACGTTTGTTTATTTTCTATTTTTTTTCCTCCATTTTCCTCTGTACATAAAAAATATTTTAAAAACTCTTGGCTGCTCTCGTGACGCACGCACACCTGTGTATCAACAGAGTGGTTATTATTTTGTACAATCGCGTCCTCCTTCACAAACATTGGTTTATATGCCCCTTTACAGATATGAAATAATGCACAAAAAGTTACCATGATATCAAATGGCATACCAAGAGACCGAGGGGCATGTTATTTTTATCATTGTTTCTTGATGAAGCGCACGACCTTCATTTGACGCGTTCAGAGAACCAGTCAGGGATATAAATGGTCTTAAGAATTCCATTGGCGATATGAGGGATAAAGGAATTTTGATAAACTCTAAATGCGTCCCTCTAAATTTGATAACATTTATATTGAAAAGTTGTGTGCCTCACAAGAAGGGACCGATATCAAGTTAGCAGTAGATAACCGGACGGATTTAATCGGTGAGTGCATATGAACAACAGAAATAACCCCCCCCCCCCCCAAAAAAAAAAAAAAAAAAGTGCCAATTTACTGATGAAATAGTGATGCAGTAATAACGCAGCTTTTAGCATTGTCACACGACCAAAATACTCACCTGAAAGTCGCTGGCGCCAGACAATAATTACTTAAGTGGCGCAGAACTCTGTTTTTGTTTTTGACATCTTCTTCATCAAACCTAATTTTATCAATACTATTACCTATTTAGACTTGGCAGGCGATTGATCTTGCTCCAGCAAAAGGGTGGGCTGCCAATCAATACACGTTTTCCCCAAGTGTGCTTTCTAACAGACACACTGTGTACTGTCTAGTCCACCGTTTTATTATTCACAATGTGTCCGGCCACCAAGAAAAGTATTATGCTTTTTGTCTCTTTGGGAGAGATTATTTGCTCGCGCGGGATGTTGGGCTGAACGGAATCCGGTCGCCTTAAGTCGTAAGGATGGCCATGTTTCCGCGAGGAGGCGCCCAGAATATATGCAACAGGGAAACGACCATAAATTAATACTTCGTTTCCTGAAAATGATTTTTAATGCAAGTACAATATATTTGGCTCACAGTGAAGACACGCCTGCTGTTCTTAAAGATACAGAATTCCGACATGTCAAATGCAAAATCTTTAAAACAGTCGTTCTGTCAAAACACTTTATATAACCACATTATTGAGATGAAAACACAGCATGGCGAAAAGGGAACAGGATCAATTTCGCAAATATTTGATGTACAAATTAAGGCAAATTTAGGAGAAATCTCTAATGTGGTGTCCATAACGGTTTGATAATAATGACATATAACCCTGCGGCAGAGTTCACGGAAGTCACAGTTCATAACATTGAGTTTGGTCACCTGTTCCCTGTACAGACATATAATTTAATTTAATGCTAAAAAAAACTTACCAGTTTTATATCAAATAATGGATTGTGTCGATATTTTCCTGTGCCGACCGGTTATTCAGCGTCTCGCAATATCCGCAAACAACATATAATACATGAAATGCATTCCAAAGACACTGAAACTGAAAGTCGATAAATAATTAGTCCAACTCTCCGAGAAGACCAGCTTTCTCGGTGTTCCCCAACATACCTTCTCAAGTCATGCCGAGAACGCTGCGTGTTATGCTATATGCTTGACATCGATTACCCGTTGGAAAAATCAAATACTGACAAATTCTCCACGACTAGAAGCTGCACCTTATTCTAAAGCTCCAAATAAGACATATTGATGAAATGACAGGATTTCCAATAAGTTTCCAGAACATCCCTTTGTGTGATGCAAATCTTGTCATTTCGTAGGGAAAACACAAGCAGGCATATCTGTAAGACTGTGTGGTTCGATCTTCGGTTTTTATACGAGTCTATAATGATGGGCACTTATCTGTCGATTATGTAGATGCTTGCAGGAAGATTATCATAAAACACTAGTTTAGTATTGGTCTTGAAACCCAAACGGATGAATCAGAAGGCAAATATATCGCAAAAACATTTACCGTAACGACTTACATCCTAAAATCAATACGGAACAGCTATTGTACAAAAACATCACACAGCCACAGATTTTATAGTCTATAGAGTAATTAAATTTTCATTACAATGAAATACAAACTACCAATATTGGAGGTTATTCGATTGTGGCCTTTTCTAGCGTGATGATACAATGGATAATTCTTTTGGTTCTTTTTAACAATAATTTCACTGATGATGATGATTGAATTAGTATGCATTACTAATGCGCCGCGTCAATAATTACTGTTCGAGATCACAGCCATGATGATAATTGGATAATAAACATAAATGAACTCAAAATCAATGCAACTCGCACATGACCGTTTTTATAATGTAGCCAGACGGCGAGTCACGAAACCCTGAATCTCAGAGAGCTGATAGCGACTGACCTCCGCCCAGTATACTATATCTCTCAGAATATATGCTGATAATGTGGAAGAATTCNCGTTTTATTATTCACAATGTGTCCGGCCACCAAGAAAAGTATTATGCTTTTTGTCTCTTTGGGAGAGATTATTTGCTCGCGCGGGATGTTGGGCTGAACGGAATCCGGTCGCCTTAAGTCGTAAGGATGGCCATGTTTCCGCGAGGAGGCGCCCAGAATATATGCAACAGGGAAACGACCATAAATTAATACTTCGTTTCCTGAAAATGATTTTTAATGCAAGTACAATATATTTGGCTCACAGTGAAGACACGCCTGCTGTTCTTAAAGATACAGAATTCCGACATGTCAAATGCAAAATCTTTAAAACAGTCGTTCTGTCAAAACACTTTATATAACCACATTATTGAGATGAAAACACAGCATGGCGAAAAGGGAACAGGATCAATTTCGCAAATATTTGATGTACAAATTAAGGCAAATTTAGGAGAAATCTCTAATGTGGTGTCCATAACGGTTTGATAATAATGACATATAACCCTGCGGCAGAGTTCACGGAAGTCACAGTTCATAACATTGAGTTTGGTCACCTGTTCCCTGTACAGACATATAATTTAATTTAATGCTAAAAAATACTTACCAGTTTTATATCAAATAATGGATTGTGTCGATATTTTCCTGTGCCGACCGGTTATTCAGCGTCTCGCAATATCCGCAAACAACATATAATACATGAAATGCATTCCAAAGACACTGAAACTGAAAGTCGATAAATAATTAGTCCAACTCTCCGAGAAGACCAGCTTTCTCGGTGTTCCCCAACATACCTTAACTCTCAAGTCATGCCGAGAACGCTGCGTGTTATGCTATATGCTTGACATCGATTACCCGTTGGAAAAATCAAATACTGACAAATTCTCCACGACTAGAAGCTGCACCTTATTCTAAAGCTCCAAATAAGACATATTGATGAAATGACAGGATTTCCAATAAGTTTCCAGAACATCCCTTTGTGTGATGCAAATCTTGTCATTTCGTAGGGAAAACACAAGCAGGCATATCTGTAAGACTGTGTGGTTCGATCTTCGGTTTTTATACGAGTCTATAATGATGGGCACTTATCTGTCGATTATGTAGATGCTTGCAGGAAGATTATCATAAAACACTAGTTTAGTATTGGTCTTGAAACCCAAACGGATGAATCAGAAGGCAAATATATCGCAAAAACATTTACCGTAACGACTTACATCCTAAAATCAATACGGAACAGCTATTGTACAAAAACATCACACAGCCACAGATTTTATAGTCTATAGAGTAATTAAATTTTCATTACAATGAAATACAAACTACCAATATTGGAGGTTATTCGATTGTGGCCTTTTCTAGCGTGATGATACAATGGATAATTCTTTTGGTTCTTTTTAACAATAATTTCACTGATGATGATGATTGAATTAGTATGCATTACTAATGCGCCGCGTCAATAATTACTGTTCGAGATCACAGCCATGATGATAATTGGATAATAAACATAAATGAACTCAAAATCAATGCAACTCGCACATGACCGTTTTTATAATGTAGCCAGACGGCGAGTCACGAAACCCTGAATCTCAGAGAGCTGATAGCGACTGACCTCCGCCCAGTATACTATATCTCTCAGAATATATGCTGATAATGTGGAAGAATTCAAAATAGAGTCTGCTTCTCGGGGTAAATCAAATCCACTAGCCACCTTTCTGGCCATTGCACTAAAAAAGAACCATATGCAAAAAATATTCCCGGGAGCGAGTAATGCAGTAACATCGCGACGACAAAGATGTCTGGGATATTTGGAACGATTAACCACATTTAGTCACCATATGTCGCAACATCTGTTTCTTATGTCAAGTATGATAGCTTCATTGAGACTGATATTGTTGAATTTTCCCCTACATTTCAGTTTGTATTTTATCATCATGTATTTAATAGAAAGTAACACGTAACAATTATGCCACATTTATTATTATTATTATTATTTGTATTTGTGTAAGTTAATTACCAGGAGATCAGATATAATGTGAACGACTTTTGGACTTAACTCAAAGAATATTCAGTATAATGTTCAAGCCCGTAGTTAGCA